ATATTTGGGAGTGGACGTGTCAGCGGAGGGGGTCTATGAAAGATGAGGTGAATCATAGAACTGATGAGGGGAAAAGGGTAGCGGTGCACTTAGGAGTCTGTGGAGACAAAGAACTTTGCCCTTGGAGGCAAAGAGGGGAATGTATGAGAGTATAGTTTTACCAACGCTCTTATATGGGCGTGAAGCAGGGGTGATGAATGTTGCAGCGGAGGAGAAGGCTGGAGGCAGTGGAGATGTCAGGTCTGAGGGGAAATTTGTGCGGTGTGAATATAAGGGGAAAAAATTCGTATTTTCGAAGTTAGGAGGGTGCGGGATTCCCAAAAAATGTTGTCCAGAGGGCTGAGGAAGGGTTGTTGAGGTGGTTTGGACATGTAGAAAAGAATGGAGCAAAACAGAGTGACTTCAAGAGTGTTTCAGTCTGTAGTGGAAGGAAGGCGGGGTAGGGGTCGGCCTAGGAAAGGTTGGAGGGAGGGGGTAAAGAAGGTTTTGTGTGCGAGGGGCTTGGACTTCCAGCAGGCATGCGTGAGCGTGTTTGATAGGAGTGAATGGAGACAAAGGGTTTTTTAAATTATTTGACGTGCTGTTGGAGTGTGAGCAAAGTAACATTTATGAAGGGATTCAGGGAAACCGGCAGGCCGGACTTGAGTCCTGGAGATGGGAAGTACAGTACCTGCACTCTGAAGGAGGGGTGTTAATGTTGCAGTTTAAAAAATGTAGTGTAAAGCACCCTTCTGGCAAGACAGTGATGGAGTGAATGATGGTGAAAGTTTTTCTTTTTCAGGCCACCCTGCCTTGGTGGGAATCGGCCAGTGTGATAATAATAAAAAAAAAAAAAATCGTGCAAACTTCGTAATACAGTAACTTCTTTGCATAGCACATGAACTTACAAGAGCAAGCCCACATTATTCAAAAAATTCATGTTTTTGTTATTGAATCCACACTAATGAAAGGATTTAGGAAAATATAGTATAATGCATTTTGTACTTCTGCAGTACAAAAATACTGAAAGATAAAAAAAAAAAAAAAAAAAAGGACAATATACAGATCAAGCTTTTACTGGGACAACATTTTGCTGAGCAAAGTGTAGTCTCAATAAAAGTTGTTCTTCATAGTGTGCCTTTAGACTTATACCTGTTGGCATTACTCCTCTACAATCAATTCTCAGAAAGCTGCACTCAAGTGATGCTAGATAACATGATTCTGAAGATCAAAATTATTATTATAAACAAAATGAAAACATTAAACCCACAAGGGTCATACAGTGTGGGCAGGGAAGGGTGCAGGGGTATTGGGTACCAAGAGGGAGAGGGATTATTATTAGGTCATGGAGTGCAGTGGGGTTGAGGGTAGCAAGAGACTGAGGTAGAAAGGGCTGTGAGGAGTGCTAGAGGCATTATCATCAGAGTTTGTGCAGTAAATCTGTTTGCTGTCAAAAGTCAATGAGAGAGTCTGGGTTAAAGGAGGATCCATCAGCAAGAATGGAAGTAAGGTTTAAGGCAGTAGAGTGGTGACGACGCGGAGGTAAATTCTGCGTGCTCGTTGATAGAGTGGGCAGTCCAACAGAATTTTGGCTAACAAAAAAGGAACCTGACAATTCTCACAGAGTGGGAAAAGGGCACCTCTCCATGAGATCCCCCGAGTAAGACAAGTGTGGCCAATGCAAGATGGGAGAGAGTAGTCTCCCAAACCCTTGACAGTGATGACATAAGACAGCCAGAAACATATACAGTAGTACTTGAAATTTAATAGAATGTAATTTGTTACATAGCAGATCAGACCAATGTTGTTGCCAACTGGTGCGAAGGAGAGTAGCAATTTCAGCAAAACAGTCTGAATGGAACACCTCTTATGAAACTGGGAGGTCATGTACTGTGATCACACAGCAGTGTCCCCTGTTCATTGTCCTGTACGTCACTCTGACTGAGGACCCAAGGAAAAATAAAAAAATGTCTGTGCTTGCTAGAGATATGGCATAACCAAAGTTGGATACAAAGAACCAAGGGATGAGGTGTATCAAATTTTCTTATAGCCTGTAAAGCACTAAAGGAGTCTGAAACCTCCACAAATGGCGACACAGGCATAGATGAAATACGAATAAGTGCTACGAGAATGGCATACAATTCAGCTGTAAAAATGCTAGCCGAGGATGATAAATGCCCTCGCATAACGTTGTCCAGAAACACTGCAGCGAATCCAACGCTGTCAGAAGACTTGGAACCATTGGTGTACACTGCGATGGCATGAGAATGAAAATGGGAGTGGTTATGAAAAAGAGAGCAAGAAGCCACCATAGGCAGTTGGGCTTTTGCACATGGCAGTGGGAAAGAACAGACATGAACCGTCGGAACTTCCCAAGGGGGTAGGTAAAAGCGAGATGCTGAATGAACATAGAAAGGTGGTAATTGAAGAGAAGACAAGAGAGAATGCAGGTGCAGAGAAAAGGGACAGAGTAAACAGGGGCAACGAACAAATAAAGCACGTCTACTAACATCAGTGACTATCCTAAACAGTGGACCCGCGGTTCGCGAAGCCATCGATATCCGATAAATCCGGTATCCGAAGCATTATATCGCAAAAAATTTGCCTCGGTTCCCGTTACAAAACCCGGTATGCGATACGATTCATACGAGACGTGTCCAGTGTTTACAAGCCAGCCAGTGTGCGTGCATCTAAGGATACATTTGGTACATTCTATATTATCCATATTATCACTGTTTTTGGTGCTTGTTTCTGCAAAGTAAGCCACCATGGGCCCCAAGAAAGCTTCTAGTGCCAACCCATCGAGACCAAGGGTGCTAATGACTATTGAAATTAAGGAAATGTGTGCAAAGTGGCTTGAAGTGCAAACCTTTTTTGATGAAAATCACAATGACACAGCTACTGCAAGCCGTGTTGGCAACCTGTACACTGACAATGTTGTGAACCACTTTAGGAAAGTCATAAAGGAACGAGAGGTACAGGCCTCTATGGACAGATATGTTGTGCGACAGAAGTCCAGTGACTCTCAAGCTGGTCCTAGTGGCATTAAAAGAAGAAGGGAAGTAACCCCGGAAAAAGACTTGCTACCTCAAGTCCTAATGGAGGGAGATTCCCCTTCTAAACATTAAAAACTTCAACACTCTCCCCTCCTCCCATCCCATCAATCATCACCAGATCTTCATTAAAGGTAAGTGTCAATTATTCTATTATTATTGTTATTATAATTATTATATTGCATTAAACTTAATATATCATGTGGTAAAAGTTTTTTTTTCATACTTTTAGGTGTCTTGCACGGATTAATTTGATTTCCATTATTTCTTATGGGGAATATTGATTTGCTTTCTGATAATTTTGGTTTACGATGAGATCTCAGGAACGGATTAATATCGTGAACCGGGGGTCCACTGTATATGGAAGGATTGCAGAGGTCGTGAGAGCAAACATAATGGCAAAGGCAATGAGCATCATGGTGATCAGTCAAGGATGGAATATTCGCCTCTGCATAGAGGCTCTCAACCAGTGAACAGCAAAGAGCACCGAGACAAATGTAATCCCTGGTGACAGGTGGGATTAAGGCTACAGAGAGTTGCAGGAGAGGCCACCGAATACATCTGGTCCCCATAAGCGAAGGATGAGGTTAACCATACAATAGATGAATGAAAAAAGCTGAGTGGTGCATTGAGGTATCTTTGGAGACAAAAAACATTATCCATGGAAGCAAAGAAGTAAATGTATGAGAGTAGTGGTACCAACACTTTTATATGGGTGTGAAGCATGGGTTGTAAATGCTGCAGCGAGGAGGAGGCTGGAGGCAGTGGAGATTTAGTGTCTTAAAGGGAATGTGTAAATTATATGCAAGAATTCGTTTTTTTGTGTTTGGAAAAATTTGAAAAGGGGTGGAGGGTTTAAAAAAAGTATTTGTCAGAGGGCCCGAAGAGGGGTTCTTGAGGTGGTTTGGTCATTTAGAAAAATGGAAAAAAGAGAAGGGCTTGGAGAGCGCATAAAATTTTGTAGAGGAAGGAAGGGGGGGGTGGGGGTTTTCCTCGAAAAAAGGGTTTGGGGGGAGGGGGGTAAAAGAGGTTTTGTGAGCAAGGGGCTTGGGGCTTCTAGAAACGTGCAAAGAGTGTGGGTTTGATAGGGGGTGTTTTACATAAATTGTATACAGTTTCCCAAAAGAAAAGAAAAAATTTGGGCACAGGGCAACTTTAGGCATTTTTTACTGTAGGGGTGAAGGAAGATGAAAGGTTTTTGGGGGCCTGATTTAGCTGTTGGAGGTTTTGAGGGGGGTAATATTTTGAAAAAGGGGTTCAGGGGGAAACTGGTTTTTGCCAGACTTGAAATTTTGGAATGGGGGAAATACAAGGAAGGGGTTTTGGGGTATTTGGTAGTTTGGAGTTACATTTTGAACCGTCATGTCTGGGGGGACCCCTGCCCAAAAACAGTGATTTTGGGGGTGGGGCGAAGGTGAAGGTTTTTAATGTGGTGAAAATTTCTTTTTTTTGGGGGCACCTTACCCAGTGGGAGACAGAAAATGTGTTGGGGGGGAGGGGGGGATTCTGAAAGGTTTTACAGTAGGCACATTTTTATTTAAAATTGGGAAACAAATTTTAAATTTTTAAGGGTCTTGGTGCTTGCCCAAAAAACTTGCTCAAGGTTACTTTTGGAAAAAAATTATTTAAAAACCCACATTCAGGGGTTTGAAGAAAAAAAAAATGCTTTTAATTAAAAAAATATCCACATAGTAAAATTTAAGTAAATTCTAAAAGTACTGTGCTTTATATCAATCACCTTTTTTAAAACTCATGGCACTCCCCCAAATTTCAAAGTAATTTTTACATTCTTTATGTAAATACAACATAGCCAAGCCAGATTTTTTTTGATTTAATTTTTAAAAAACCCCTTCACTTTTGCTTTCAGTATTTTTAAAACTTCCCCAAAAATTACAGTACCCAGTTAAAATCTCAAAACCCAAAAAATAAAAAAAAATTTTAACTTCCTTTTTAAAATTAAATGTTTCCAAATTAAAATTAACTACCCTACATGTACTACATCGACTATAGAGGTGTTGCAGTCGGTTCCTTGGCTTCTGTCAGAGCTCGAGGTTTATGGTACAACACTGCTACCTTGACACCCTGAGAAAACAAAAACAGCTTTATTGCAGATTTACAATGAGCAGATGAAATAAATTAAACTGTCACCTATCTCTCCGTACTAGTTAGAGAGGATCAAACAAAATAGGACGACTAAGAGGGTATATAAATTTGTAGTGGAGGGTAGGCATGGTAGGGGTCATCCTAGAAAAGGATGGAAGGAGGGGGGTAAAGGAGGTTTTGTGTGCAAGGGGTCTGGACACACAGCAGGCATCGGTGAGCAGGATAATATTTTGTGAAAGGATTAAGGGAAACCTGTTAGTTAGACTCGAGTCCTGGAGGTGGGAAGTACAATGCCTGCACTTTAAAGGAGGGGTTTGGGATTTGCTGTCGAGAGGGTCATTTAAACTGCTGCACACCTCTGGCAAGACAGTGATATCATGAATGATGGTGAAACTGTTTTTTCTTCAGGTCATCCTGCCTTTGGAGATGGCCCAGAGTTTGGAAAAAAATTGGCCGAATTTTCAAGTGACTACAATACTGAAATATACTGGAAATTAATACATACATGATAGATTTTACTACACTATATCAATGCCACACAGGTAATTATTTATCTTAGGCAATCTCTACTATACCTCTGGCAAAACTTTTTATAGAAAAAGTTTTGCCAGAGGTAAAGTTATTTAAAGATACATTTTATAGCAGCAATAAAAAATGCGCACAAAGAAAAGATAAGAAAGATTTGTAGATAATGCACAATGACCTAGATAATATGCAAGTTTCTGTTTCACAGTGGGCAAAAATATAATCTGACATACTTGATGTTCAGCAGATCTTACAAAACCTCCATTAGATGTGATTGTGAGAGCTCTATGGTAATGTCCAGTGCCAAAGATGATCCTGGAAAGTTCACGCACTCTACCTCCAAGTCTGACCTTATCCTGACAAGGAGGGGAAAAAAGTAACCATACATTTTCTCAAATTCCTCATTACTTATTAAAGCAATACTATGACAAGATCAAATATTGTACAGGAAAAAAAATCTATTCTCACAATATAATTACCTTAAAACAATCTTCTCCTGGAACTACATTAAGTCTGGACACCAATTCCTTGGCACGAGCTTTCTCGCTCTTGCCACCAATAGTATCAACAATTTCTAGGAAGTGATTGACTGCCTCTTGACATGCTATCAGTTCAAGGCCTGAAAAGTGAATGTCATTGATATTTTTACAGTAGTCCCCTCAAATCCGTGAATTCTGGAGGCAATAAAAAAAGCCTATAAATGCCTATTTTTACAGTTTAGGCCCTAATTATGCCTCCAAAACAGAGAATGTAAAGATAAACCCATATACAGTACTGTATCTAGAATGTAAAATACTGATGTCACCCCCATATGTACTGTAATTCATGCAAGCCCATTTTCTTTGGTATACTGTAATTCATGCAACCCCATTTTCTTTTGCATACATACAATAAATACACAGTAATAATATTAATTTAGTGTTCAAACACACAAAAAATTATATACTGCGACAAAAAAGGCCCCCCCAAAATTTCGCAAATTTGTGGGGACTTCCGCGAACAATTAGTATTAGTTAGGTTCTAAGGAAAAATCCGCGAATTACTGAAGCCGTGAAATCACAGGGGTTCACTGTACAGTGGTCCCTCGTTCGTAATTAATCTGTTCCTGGAGCCGTTACTATAAACGAAATTTACGATTTACGAATCAATTTTCCCCATAAGAAATAATGTAAATACAAATAATCCATTCCTGACACCCAGAAGTATTAAAACAAAAAAATTTTTAACATGAAATATACATGTAGTACATAAACAATACAATGGGAAATGATGAATGAAACATTAACAGCATAACACTTACCTTTATTGGAGATTCTTCTTAGTGTATGGGAGACTGGAGGAGGAGAGAGTGGATTGTTTATAGTTTGGAAGGGGAATCCCCTTCCATCAACACCTCAGGTACCATTTGCTTTTCTGGGGTTGCTTCTCTTCTGTTTCTTAATGCCACTAGGACCACCTTGAGAGTCACTGGAGTCCTGTCTCACAAAATAACTGTGGAGAGAGCTCTGTTTCTGGCATCTCTTTAACACTTCCCTAAAATGGCCCAAGATTTTGTCACTGTACATGTTGCCAACCTGGCTTGCAACAACCTTGTTGGGGTGATGTTTCTCCATAAAGCTTTCCATCTTACCCCACATAGTAAAAATCTCTATAATTTCTGAAGAAGGCACCTTCTTCCATCTCTCTTCCTCCTCTGCAGCAAGATTCTGAGCTGCGATGTGTTGCTCTTCCTGCTGAAGCTCTTGCAGCTCCTCAGTGGTGAGCTCTTCATTGTGGTCTTCCACCAATTCTTCCACATCCTCCAAACTCACATCCAACCCCATGGAACTCCCCAGTGCCACAATTGATTTTACAACAGACATAGGCTCATTAGGGTCGGTCCCAAATCCTTCAAAATCCCTCTTGTCGACACAATCTGGCCACAATTTTCTCCAGACAGAGTTCAAAGTCCTGGTAATCACTCCCTCCCAAGCCATACCTGTAAGGGTTATGCAGTGGAGGATGCTGAAGTGTTCTCTCCAAAATTCCCTTAGGGTCAAGTGAGTGTCTGGGGGTCACAGTCAAGCACCTGTGAAACATTGCTTTTGTGTAGAGTTTTTTAAAGTTTGCAAAAAACCTGCTGGTCCAGGGGTTTGGAGGAGAGGAGTGGTATTCGGGGGCAAGAACCTTACTGTGATGAACCTAAACTCCTCGAAAATTAGGTCATCCAAGTTTGGAGGATGAGCAGGTGCATTGTCCATTACTAGCACGCACTTGAGATCCAATTTCTTTTCCAGGAGATACTCCTTCACACTAGGGCCAAACACTTCATTAAACCACTCGACGAAAATTTCCCTCGTGACCCATACCTTACTATTAGATTTCCAAAACACACACAATTTACTCTTCATAACATTGTTTTTCCTGAACACTCTGGGATTTTCAGAATGCTACACTAGTAATGGCTTCACTTTGAAATCCCCACTAGCATTAGCGCAGAAACATTAGCGTCAGCCTGTCTTTCATAGGCTTATGTCCTGGCATTGCCTTTTCCTCTTGTGTAATGAAGGTCCTCTTTGGCATTTTCTTCCAGAAGAGGCCTGTTTCGTCACAATTGAACACTTGTTCAGGTTTCAGTCCTTCACTGTTTATGTGCTCCTGGAATTCATGAACATATTTTTCAGCCGCCTTGTGGTCCGAACTGGCAGCCTCACCATGCCTTACCACACTGTGTATGCCAGTACGGTTTTTAAATCTCTCAAACCAGCCTTTGCTGGCCTTAAATCCACTCACTTCACTATTTGCAGGCAATTTCTTTACCAAATCTTCATGCAACTGCCTAGCCTTTTCACAAATAAACGAAGTCATAAGAGTATCTCCTGCTAATTGTTTCTCATTTATCCACACCAATAATAACTTCTCAACCTCTTCCAGTACTGGTGATCTCATTTTTGTCAGCATAGTTACTCCCTTTGTAACAACAGCATCCTTTATTTCATTTTTCTTGGCCACTATGGAACATAAGGTTGTGTAGGGTTTCTTATACAGTGGACCCCCGCATACCGTTGACATCACATACCGTTTATTCCGCATACCGCTCACTTTAATCGCAAAAATTTTGCCTCGCATACCGCTCAAAAACCCGCTCACCGCTGTTCGTCCGAGACGCGCCCAATGTGCGCCTTAGCCAGCCTCACATGTTCCGCCGGTGGCATTGTTTACCAGCCAGCCTCCGCGGTAGCATCCAAGCATACAATCGTAACATTTCATATTATTACAGTGTTTTTGGTGATTTTATCTGGAAAATAAGTGACCATGGGCCCCAAGAAAGCTTCTAGTGCCAACCCTACAGCAATAAGGGTGAGAATTACTATAGAGATGAAGAAAAAGATCATTGATAAGTATGAAAGTGGAGTGCGTGTCTCCGAGCTAGCCAGGTTGTATAATGAACCCCAATCAACCATCGCTACTATTGGTGGTACAGCTGCTGCTGCTGCTGCTGCTGCTGCTGCTGTAGCACTGTTGTTGGTGTGGCTTATTGAGAATATACCAAGAAACAATTAACCCCAGAGGATTTTCCACCCAGGATAACCCAAAAAAGTCAGTGTCATCGAAGACTGTAACTTATTTCATTGGGGTCCTTTAATCTTGTCTCCCAGGATGCAACCCACACCAGCCCGACTAACCCCCAGGTGAACAGGGAAAAAATGCCTGGAACTAGTGCTCATATTGGTGAATTTAAAGCCAGCAAAGGTTGGTTTGAAAGATTTAAGAATCGTAGTGACATACACAGTGTGATAAGGCCTGTTCTGGAAGAAAATGCCAAACAGGACCTACAGTACTCAGGAGGAAAAGGCACTCCCAGGACACAGTGTCTCATCAGTCATTGCTGCATCTTCAATAAAGGTAAGTGTCATTTATTCTTCATTTAGTAGACTAGTACATGCACAATATATACTGTGCATGTACTACTCTAATATTGTGCATGTATCCTTCTCTTTGTGTGTAGGAAAATGTATATTTCATGTGGTAAAAATTTTTTTTTCATACTTTTGGGTGTCTTGCACGGATTAATTTGATTTCCATTATTTCTTATGGGGAAAATTCATTCGCATACCGATTATTTCGCATACCAATGAGCCCTCTTGCACGGATTAACCCTTTCAGGGTACAAGGCCCAAATCTGGAGTCACGCACCAGTATCCAAGAATTTTCAAAACAAAAATTTGTTATTTTGTCTTATGAAATCGTAGAGAATCTTTTTGTGAAGGTAATAAAACAAAAAGTACGAAATTTGGTGGAAAATTGATGAAATTATGCTCTCGCGAATTTTGATGTGTCAGCGATATTTATGAATCGGCGATTTTGCCGACTTTGACTCCCATTTTAGGCCAATTACATTATTCCAATCAACCAAATTCTTAGCTATTTCACTAGTTTTAAACTTCTATTCTATCGATTGAGCACAAGAAATCGCCAAGTCAACTGTTTCAACTACAAAATAAAGTGATCGGAAATTGTTAATTTGGCCAATTTAACACAAAGTTCAAAATATTCCAATTTCAAAATAGGGTCCATAATGAACAATGTAGGCATTCCTGGCACTAAACTAACATTTCCTCTGTTCATTAGTTATGTTTTGAGGCTTTACAAATAAATTCCATTTTGATTTTTTATTCACATAATGAATTTTTATTCACACCAAAAAATAGAAGATTTACTGTTATGCAATACTGTAATAATTGTATAAATATCATCACCATATTTGTGAATGTATATTAGACCCACCATCTGACGTGTATTAGACGTGCGAGGTCGCTTGTTTACTCTTGAATATCGGCAAAAATTTAACATTTCTGCTACTTTGAGCTCAGTTTCAAGCCATTTCCAATGGTAAAACCAATCAAAATCATCTCTATTTCTGTGATATGTCTTCCATTCTATCAAATGAAACCAAGAAATCGCAAATACAACTATAAAAAACATACGAAAAAACACTGCAAAGTTGCTGTTTTAATCGAAAAATCATGATTTCAGTTTTTTTCTCTCATTATACACAGTGTGCTGCAGGATCTGTTTTATGTGGTGCACACATACCACATAGATGTATTCTCTCATATCTAGGCCCAAATGTACCACTCACAGTTTATCAGAGTGAGCTGAGCTCATGGCGTAGATCTACGGTTTGGACCCTGAACGTAAAGCCGTAGATCTACGGGACGGACCCTGAAAGGGTTAAAATCGGTATGCGGAGGTCCACTGTACATCCTGGACAGTTCGGCCACACTTGTACCACTTTCATATTGTTCAATGATGGTTTTCTTAAATTCAATCGTATTTCTCACCTTCTTTACCACAGGCTTGGCACTAGGAGCTTTCTTTGGAGCCATGGTAGCTTATTTAGTACTTGCAAGCACTAAAATAAATGGAATATTATGAAAAATTTCGCTGGAGCACGCGAGGGGACCTTCGCTCACTGGTAAACAATGCCAGACTGGCTGCCGCCCTGGCCCACGCCGTGCGTACGCGTCCCGGACGAACTACGACTCACGAGTCAACCTATGAAAAGCGAGTCCATGTTTATACGAAAATACCCCTATGATTGGCGAATTTTACGATTGCTGGGAACTACGAAAAGCGGGGGACCACTGTATTAGGAGATTATTTAGCATTTCTCTCATAAATATAGTTGGGTTATAAAGATTCACCGAGTCCAAGTTTATATCGAGGTGGACAGGGATAAATATGCTAGGCGTATTAGTAAGAGAAACAAAAAATAAAGATATTTTTTAAAGCTTTGTGCTAAATACAGTACAGGCATATAAGAATTAATTATAAGAAAGGTAAGCCCACGTACAGTCAAACCCCAAAATTTTCAAGGGTTAACTTCCTAGAAGTCTTTGCAATTTCTTATTTATGAAATGGGACAAGGCATACGATACTGTGGTTAGGGAAGCAGTGTGGAAAGTGGGTTAACAAGTCTTGAGCTGATGAAAGCTGGAAAGATACTTTTTTCGAGAAAAATGCAAGAAAGTAGAAGAGTATTCTCCATTAAAAGTGATCCTCAGACTTGTTTGTGTGATGTCACTGTTTAATGCATTTGTTTCAAGGAGAGGTGCAAGCTTAGAAGATGCAAATACTTCCCCGACTTCTGCGTTCCGCACCAACTGACTGGTCAGATCTTGAAAGGGACAGATGTCAGAATTGTTAGCATGGGATGTATTAGTTTTATATCAGTACAGCATTCCTTCCCCCACCCCACCAAGGCAGGATGACAAAAAAACTTCAACATTCAATACTTTCACCATCATTCACACATTACCATTGTCTTTGCAGAGGCACTCAGATACAACAATTTAGATGTCACTTCAAACATCCAATATCCCAAGCCCCTCCTTTAAGGTACAGGCATTGTACTTCCCACCTCCATAACTTACGTCCGACTAACCAGTTTCTGTGAATCCTTTCACAAAATATTACCCTGCTCACACACTATAGCTCTTCGGGGCCCAAAAACCATTCGGTTTCATTCACTCCTATCTAACATATGCCTGCTTTATGTCCAGACCCCTTGCTTTGTGTGCAAGGTGCAGCATTCTTTTACCCTACTAAATTTCAGTCATGGTTATCTCTGTTTTATCAACCGGCTTTATTATCTTAAGTTTCATTACTCACAAACTGATGTTCCTCACTTGTAGATATTAATCATAGGCTCTGCATGCACGCAGCCGCTAGCACTGGCAGATGTATGACCAAAGGTCATACGTACATATTTTTCTAACTATACAGTGGAACCCCATATGTGCGGTGCTATGTTTCAAGGACCTGCCATGGATACTGAAACCGTGGATAGTAGCAAACGCTATATGAAAGTCCTATACATACCTATTATAAAGTTTATTGATAAATTATGATAAAAAGTGATTAGTATTATCACTTTTTCACTGATGGGAAGCACTTCACAGCTTCTCTTAGGCTTTGAAGAACTGCCAGCTTTTCTACTTATGCACTCTGGGGCCATTATTATGCAAAATCAAGAGGTATTTTTGGGCCATCGTAAACTGTGGATAAATGAAACGGCGAATATAGAATCAGTGGGTTCTACTGTAGTGTACTTTTTTTGGTTGCAAGTGCAGATGGGCATAAGTCACATAGGCTGAAAGTTGGAGAGGATCCAAATTCACGATGAATTTGACAAATCATTGTTACAATTGCTTTTCGGAAAGATTCAATATTCAAAAGCGAAACTATCTCTTGGAGATTTACTTAACACAGGTTGAGTCTGCATATCAGACTAGATTTTATAACAAAATTCTGTTCTGTAAAGAAAATGGTGATCACAAAAAACTGAAACCACTTGTTTAACCGAGCGAGTTTCATCAAACTGTCCAATAGGACAATACGTACAAGGGTGGAAAGTTTTATACACTAATAAGGTACTTGTCACTTAACAATCTACCTGTTTAATGACCGCTCTGACTTACGACCAGCTTTCTGACCAGTGCATTGTGTGTATTTTTTTATTGTTTTTTAATGTCTAGTTCTATTTTTATTATATGTATTAAAAATGTTATAAATGGTGCGAAGGCAACATTAAAACAATATCTAAAGATTGTCGACACAAACCCACTACCAGTACAGCATGACTGAAATATCAGTAAAGGGTGGCTCCTCGCTTAACGACCAATTCACTTACTACTTACTCTTAGGAATGGAATTGTCCTTAAGAGAGGAGTACCTGTATAAAGCAAAAAAGTTTGCCAAAATAGCAAAAGAAAACATTTTACTGAAACTGCTATTAAACAATATTCAGGAAAATGAAAAAGCCATAACTCTTACCTTTGAAATAGCCATCAAGTGTTTTCTTTACCGGGTCTTTTCTTTCACACATTGCTTGCTCGGTAAGATACTTATCCTTAAAAATAAAACCAGCACTACCATTTGTTGTTGCTGTTACATAAGCTATCATGGCTGTAACATCAAGATTAGCTTTATTTATAGGTGCTTCTTCCTCCTCAGTTACATAAGAGCCCTGAAAATCTGTAATTGAAGCAGAACTTTGAACATCAGCTTTGTCAACTTGGTAATGTATCCCACTTTTACTTTTCGATGGACCTTTGTCACTGGTATTACCTAATGCTGCTATCACATTTATGATTTCTGGAGAATCATCTGATTCACTATCACTCTGTTGAATAAGTTTGTGATCACATATAGTATCAACAGATGCAAATTTTACTTCAACTGCAGCACTGCCATCTGTGCATGATATGCTTTCATTAACAAAATGCTTTTTATCACACAAATATTCAGATTCAGAATCCGAGTCCTCGCTGTCAGTCTCAAAGTCCTCACTTTCTGTCTCCGAGTCATCACTTTCTGTTTCTGAGTCCTCACTTTCTGTCTCTGAATCCTTCCCTAAATAATCTGGCAGCTCAAATTCATGATCAGGTATTATTTTTCCTTTAATTTCTACACTTTTTTCTTGAAGACTCTTTGCCAAGCCCTCACTCACTCCACTACAAAACCAAAACACAATCTGAAATAAACAGTAGTACAGTAACCGGTTCAGAATACAGCATTACATACTGTTCTATGCGAGTACTGAATTATTCCAACTGAAAGGGATCAAGCATGGCGTAGGTTTGCCATATCTGAAGCTAAATGTAAAAGATAATTTTATGATATACATTCTATCTCTTGGAAGTAGTGACATGCATTCATTTTTTTTTTTAACGCGTCTATCATTTCCCACCGAGGCAGGGGTAACCTAAAAAGAAAAAACCAAAAAGAAAGAAAAATACTATCATCATTCAACACTCACCATCACTCATACATAATCACTGTCTTTGCAGAGGTGCTCAGATACGACAGTTTAGAAGTCCCTCCAAACTGCCGATATCCTAAACCCCTCCTTTAAAGTGCAGGCACTGTACTTTCATTTCCAGGACTCAAGTCTGGCTAACTGGTTTCCCTGAATCCTTCACAAAATATTACCCTGCTCGAACGCCAACAGCTCGTCAGGTCCCATATACCATTCGTCTCTACTCATTCCTATCTAACGTGCTTATGCATGTTTGCTGGAAGTCCAAGCCCCACGCCCACAAAACTTCCTTTACCCCCAAGTTACTAATAAATTTGGATAGTAAACTATTATATATGACACAAGCAAACCCACTTAGAGGAAATGAAGCAAGGCAGTAGTATTGTCTATTTTGACCAACAATCAAGCTCTTCCTGATGAAGGACCTCACTTGTAGGTTGAAATATGCAGCATTTATCTTATCTTCTGTTTTATTTTCTATGTGGATTTGATTGTACCATTGAATGGTATATATTACACTGTTATTCCAGATATATAAAGCCTCTCCTCACTTAGCGATGTACTTGTTTAGTGACCATTCTGACTTACAACCAGCTCTCCAACCAGTATGTAAACCTCTATTTCCTCTATTCTGTTTATTGCAGTATAAAACACAATACTGTATAAACATTTAACAATATATCAGAAGTGTTATAAATGGTGCGAAGGTGACATTAAAAAAAAAATATCTAAAGATGGTCGATACAAACCCACTACCAGTATAATATGCTCCTCAATGACCAATTCGCTTACCGACCTACTCTTAGGAATGGAAACCCATCATTAAGCCGTATTGAAAACTGGGTTGCAGAAGTTATGGTTTATTAATGATATCCCATGGGTTGTAAATGATGCAGCAAAGGAGAGGCTGGAGGCAATGTAGATGTCGTGTCTAGGGGTATGTGTGGTGTAAATATTATGCAGAGAATTCGAAGTGTGGAAATTAGGAGGAGGTGTTGAGTTACTGAAAGTATTAGAGGGCTGAAGAGGGGTTGTGAGGTGGTTTGGTCATTGAAAGAGGATGCAACAAAGAAGAATGACTAAAAGAGCATAAAAATCTGTAGTGGAAGGAAGGCGGAGTAAGGTGGGGGGTAAAGGTGGTTTTGTGTGCGAAGGGTTTGGACTTCCAGCAGGCGTGTGTGTGTGAGCATGTTTCATAGGAGTGGAGACAAATAGGTTTTTGGGACCTGATGAGCTGTTGGAGTGTGAGCAGGGTAATATTTTGAAAGGATTCGGGGGAACTGGTTAGCTGGACTTGAGTCCTGGAGATGGGAAGTACAATGTCTGCACATTAAAGGAGGGGTTTGGGATACTGGTTGTTTGGAGTGACATCTAAAGTGTTTTATCTGAGCACCTCTGCAAAGACAGTGATTATGTACGAATGATGGTGAAAGTGTCAAATGATTATGAAAGTTTTTCTTTCTTAGGTCACCCTGCCTTGGTGGGAAATGGCCGACGTATTAAAAAAAAAAAGTATTTAGAATTACACAATCCTAATTTAGCCACTTCAGTAATGGGATTAGTTCTACATCCATTTTTTTTCACCATTCCACATACATGCTAGTAAAATAAATTTTTAATATCTTCAGTTTTTCCAGTCACCTAAATTAATATTTTTTCTTGACAACCCATATACAAGTGTATGACCATCTTTACCTTTGGCACTGAATAAAAGACTGGGTGGTGTTGTGCACATATCAGAAAACCATCAGCAACTTCATCAAGTGGTTTCACACCATTTCTGCCACCCGAAATAAACAGCATGTGGAGAGCTTTAGGATTCCTTAAAATTACCTGTGAAGGAAGTAAATAAGGTTTTCAAAAAGTGCAGCATTCAATTCGTTACGAAAGTAATAATGAAAATTATAAAAAATAATAAATTCCTAGTACAAAAGTATTAACAGTACACCTACTATCCGACTTACGACCGAGTTCGGTTCCAAGAAACTGGTTGTAAGTCGAAATGGTCGCAAGTCGAACTTTACTACTGAATATCAACATCACATTTTTGTAATGACTATTTCATTGTTTTACTTTGGTATTTCATGTTTTACTTTACTTTTTATGCTGTTAGTACTGTATTTTATACTGTAAGGTTTAGGATAAACACTGTACAACACAAATAGTTGTTTATTTCCCAGAAATTTGGCAAAAAAAAAAAAAAAAACCCCACAGTCGTAAGTCGAGTGGTCGTAAGTCGAGCAGGTCATAAGTCGGATGGTAGGTGTATATTCATTCAGTTAAAACCACTTTCAAAAGCAGTGTTTTTATTGTATTTATGGCTAGTGGTAAATCTACAAAGGTCATACAGTGCTTGGGAGGCACAGTCCTCATTCTAGGAAAGGATGGTTCCAAATGTTTGGATCAAGAGCTCTTTACCACCAACATGGACCCCACCCCCTTGACTGGAATTTTCAAAGTAGTAATACAATACTTCGTATCAAATAAATATGATTTGGAACAATGGCTGATAAAATGAGAAAGTCTTAAGGCCTATTGAAAAATTTCCAAAACTTGCCAGTTGCAAGTGGTACTGTAAAAATATACAAAATCCTGGAGTGAAAGGTAGGAGAGACAGGGGTCATACCAGGAATGGTTGGAAGGAAAGGGTAAAAAGAGGCTTTGAAAGTTAGGGGCTTGGGCATCCAGTAAGCTTCTGTGAGTATGTTTCATTAGAGTGAGTGGAGACAAGTGGTTTTTTAATGGATGTGGTGTAAGAGTGAGCAAGGTAACTTATGAAGGAATTCGTAGAAACCAGTTAGCTGGATTGGAGTCCTGAGATGGGAAAGGCAATGATTGCAGAGGGAGGGGTGGAGATGTTGAAATCAGAGGATAATCTGACTGATATAAGCACACTTCTAGAACGAAAGCAATTGAATGAACGATTTATTTTTTTTTTTTTTTTGTTCTTTATTCTGCCTTGGCAGGAGACAGTCATCGAGGTATAAAAAACAAAAAACAAAAAGCATATACTGTACCAACCGCAGTACGTATATCCGAAAGAAAATCAAATAAAACTGGAAAAAAAAGGGAAGGGGATTGGGAAAGTATTCTCCCTCTGGAATTACAAAGCTAATCTTAACCCTTAAACTGTCCAAACGTAGATCTACGTTTGCGCGCGTAGCGCTCTGACCTTGATTTTCTCCATAAGAAAGAAAGCAAAAAAATTGTAGATCTACATTTGGACAGTTTAAGGGTTAAACTTACCCACAATTTTATTTTTAAATTTTAACCATAACCTACAGATGCAGACATACAGTATGTACATAACTCCGAAGTGTTAACAAAACTTGCCTTTATCCACTGCTTCCCACCTTCGCCCACCACATCAACAACTATTTTCTCCATGCCTTTAATGCAAAATGTTTGTAGCAATCCTGTCGTCTGAAAAGAAAAATAAATAGTCTCATTTTGAAAAATGCATCATGAAATAAAGACCAGTGCACACACACACACACACACACACACACACACACACACACACACACAAAATATCCCAATATAAAATGTAAAGCATTTCTAAGTTATTTTCATGAACATTAATATTTCTACCTGGGTACAGAATATTGAGCAAAAATCTGAAAGCTACATACAAACTAGTTATAATATAGTGCAACCTTCCCACCTGAAATATTGAATAAAAAGGAAATCCAAATTCTTTACTACAGTTACTACTAACTACAATGCCAAGTCTACCTAGAGGTTATTCCGGGGATCAACGCCCCCACGGCCCGGTCCACAACCAGGCCTCCCGGTGGATCAGGGCCTGATCAACCAGGCTGTTACTGCTGGCCGCACGCAGTCCAGGAGTTTATTGGTAATTCCCCTTATGCGTCATGGGAGGCTATTGAACAGTCTTGGGCCCCAGACGCTTATGGTGTTTTCTCTTAGTGTACCAATGGCACCCCTACTTTTAATTGGGGGTATTTTGCATCGCCTGCCCAGTCTTTTACTTTCGTAGGGAGTGATTTCTGTATGCAGATTCGGGACCATTCCTTCCAGGATTTTCCAAGTGTAGATTATGATATATATCTCTCTCCTGCATTCCAACGAGTACAAGTCAAGTGCTCCAAGCGTTCCCAATAGTTAAGGTGCTTGACAGAACTTATACGTGCAGTAAAGGTTCTCTGTACACTCTCTAGATCTGCAATTTCACCTGCTTTGAACGGAGATGTTAATGTACAATAGGGAAAATAATTAATGGTTATATGTAATTGCAATAAAGTTGGACAAATTTGGGAGGGCATGTAAAAGGAAACAAAGTCAACATCGAAAAAGAAAAAGGTGATGAGGGTAACAAAAATGCGTAAGCAATGAGACTGAATATCAGATTGGAGGGAGTGTGTATGGAAAAATATATGTACTATTTAGATATTTGGGAGTGGACATGACAACAAATGGGTCTAAGAAAGACTAGAGGAACCACAGAATAGAGGAAAAAAAATATTGGGTGATGTGCTTAATCATCTGGAAAGAATTTTATTTGCAAGAAGCAGGAAAAAAAAGAAAGGTAGGGTGCTACACATGGGTTTTGAACACTGTAGCAAGGAAGAGGCTAGAGGCAGTGATGTCATATTTGAGACCAATGGGTAGTGGGAATATGCAGAGAATTTGGAACAGAGAAATTAAAAACCAATGTTGGGTCATCAAGGGTATAATTCAGAGGACTGAAGAGTTGTGAAGACAGTTTAAAAGCATGTAGTGTTTGGAGAGGGAAAGGGGTGACAAAGAGGACGTACAAATCTGATAGGTGGGTGGGGTAGGAGTCATCCCCAGAATGGTTGGAGGAAAGGGAGATAAAAGAGACCGAGTTTTAGGGAATTTCACATCCAGCAAGGCTTTTATGATCATGTTAGATGGGTGTGGAGACAAGTGGATTTTAATGGAGTGGCAAGGTAACTTATGAAGGTATTCAAGGAAACCAGTTGGCCAGACTGGCATCCTGGAAGTGGAAAATGCAGTGCCTGCACTCTGAAGGAGGGGTGAGGATGTCAGCACCCTTCTAGAAAGATAGCAATTGAATGAATTATGAAAATGCATTTTCTTTGGGGTTACCCTGCCTTGGCAGGGTAAGAGGGTTAGAGAAAAAAAAACACACACAGATATTGCATATACTACACAGTATATCAATGACATTAAGGTTTTCCTACTCACATTTGGGGTTGCTACTGCAACTGAGGCAAGCGCTCCCAACTGGCCTAGGTTAGAACACTGGACATGCTGCTCTTTCAGCTCACTGCCCTTTCTCAAACCCTAGAATTAAACATAGTATGTACTGTATATAGATATATTCACAGATAGTCATTGGAGATTTACTTTAATAAAACTATACTGGTAGTAGATATTAAATTTAAAGAGAATTAAAAATGAAAATGATGCAGGTGCTACCAAGGTGAAAAAAGAAGTTTTATATGGAATGTACAGCTTATAAGGAAACTTCAATGTGAACTTTTTTGGGGGGAGATGAAAACTTCAGCAAATATTTATCTATCAGTACTGAGTATTTTCTACAAATTTTTCTGCTTATTTTTAAGGCTTTTAATAATCCCTCTACTTTTGTTAAATTGTAATAAAGTACTAAAGGGGGTAAAGGAGGTTTTGTGGGCAAGGGGCTTGGACTTCCAGCAAGCGTGCGTGAGCGTGTTAGGAGTGAATGGAGACGAATGGTACTTGGGACCTGACGATCTGTTGGAGTGTGAGCAGGGTAATATTTAGTGAAGGGATTCAGGGAAACCGGTTATTTTTATATAGTCGGACTTGAGTCCTGGAAATGGGAAGTACAATGCCTGCACTTTAAAGGAGGGATTTGGGATATTGGCAGTTTGGAGGGATATGTTGTGTATCTTTATACGTATATGCTTCTAAACTGTTGTATTCTGAGCACCTCTGCAAAAACAGTGATTATGTGTGAGTGTGGTGAAAGTGTTGAATGATGATGAAAGCATTTTCTTCTTGGGGATTTTCTTTCTTTTTTGGGTCACCCTGCCTCGGTGGGAGACGGCCAACTTGTTGAGAGAGAAAAAAAAAAAATAATAACCTTTGAAAAGAGACATCTGGATGTTCTAATGTGCTATTAATGAAATGTAACAACTATTAGGTAGTAGGTTGGTAGACAGCAACCACCCAGGGAAGTAATACCGTCCTGCCAGATGACTGTGAAACAGAAACCTGTAACTGTTTTGCATGATGGTAGGATTGCTGGTTTCTTTTTCTGTCTCATAAACACACTAGATAACAGGGATATCTTGCTACTCCTACTTACACTTTGGTCACACTTCACAGACACGCACATGCATATACAGTGGACCCCCGCATAACGATCACCTCCAAATGCAACCAATTATGTAAGTGTATTTATGTAAGTGCGTTTGTACGTGTATGTTTGGGGGTCTGAAATGGACTAATCTACTTCACAATATTCCTTATGGGAACAAATTCGGTCAGTACTGGCACCTGAACATACTTCTGGAGTGAAAAAATATCGTTAACCGGGGGTCCACTGTATATATACATACATCTAGGTTTTTCTCCCTTTTTCTAAATAGCTCTTGTTCTTCCTTATTTCTTCTATTGTCCATGAGAAAGTGGAAAAGAATCTTTCCTCCGTAAGCCATGCGTGTCGTATGAGGCGACTAAAATGCCAAGAGCGATGGGCTAGTAACCCCTTCTCCTGTAGACATTTACTAAAAAAGAGAAGAAAAACTTTATAAAACTGGGATGCTTGAATGTGCGTGGATGTAGTGCGGATGACAAGAAACAGATGATTGCTGATGTTATGAATGAAAAGAAGTTGGATGTCCTGGCCCTAAGCAAAACAAAGCTGAAGGGGGTAGGGGAGTTTCGGTGGGGGGAAATAAATGGGATTAAATCTGGAGTATCTGAGAGAGTTAGAGCAAAGGAAGGGGTAGCAGTAATGTTGAAGGATCAGTTATGGAAGGAGAAAAGAGAATATGAATGTGTAAATTCAAGAATTATGTGGATTAAAGTAAAGGTTGGATGCGAAAAGTGGGTCATAATAAGCGTGTATGCACCTGGAGAAGAGAGGAATGTAGAGGAGAGAGAGAGATTTTGGGAGATGTTAAGTGAATGTATAGGAGCCTTTGAACCAAGTGAGAGAGTCATTGTGGTAGGCGATCTGAATGCTAAAATAGGAGAAACTTTTAGAGAGGGTGTGGTAGGTAAGTTTGGGGTGCCAGGTGTAAATGATAATGGGAGCCCTTTGATTGAACTTTGTATAGAAAGGGGTTTAGTTATAGGTAATACATATTTTAAGAAAAAGAGGATAAATAAGTATACAAGATATGATGTAGGGCGAAATGACAGTAGTTTGTTGGATTATGTATTCGTAGATAAAAGACTGTTGAGTAGACTTCAGGATGTACATGTTTATAGAGGGGCCACAGATATATCAGATCACTTTCTAGTTGTAGCTACACTGAGAGTGAAAGGTAGATGGGATACAAGGAGAATAGAAGCATCAGGGAAGAGAGAGGTGAAGGTTTATAAACTAAAAGAGGAGGCAGTTAGGGTAAGATATAAACAGCTATTGGAGGATAGATGGGCTAATGAGAGCATAGGAAATGGGATCGAAGAGGTATGGGGTAGGTTTAAAAATGTAGTGTTAGAGTGTTCAGCAGAAGTTTGTGGTTACAGGAAAGAGGGTGCAGGAAGGAAGAGAGAGCATATGAGAAGTTTTTACAAAGTAGAAGTGATGCAAGGAAGGAAGAGTATATGGAGAAAAAGAGAGAGGTTAATAGAGTGGTGAAGCAATGTAAAAAGAGAGCAAATGAGAGAGTGGGTGAAATGTTATCAACAAATTTTGTTGAAAATAAGAAAGTTTTGGAGTGAGATTAACATGTTAAGGAAGCCTAGAGAAAAAATGGATTTGTCAGTTAAAAATAGGAGAGGAGAGTTATTAAATGGAGAGTTAGAGGTATTGGGAAGATGGAGGGAATATTTTGAGGAATTGTTAAATGTTGATGAAGATAGGGAAGCTGTGATTTTGTGTATAGGGCAAGGAGGAATAACATCTTGTAGGAGTGAGGAAGAGCCAGTTGTGAGCGTGGGGGAAGTTCGTGAGACAGTAGGTAAAATGAAAGGGGGTAAGGCAGCTGGGATTGATGGGATAAAGATAGAAATGTTAAAAGCAGGTGGGGATATAGTTTTGGAGTGGTTGGTGCAATTATTTAATAAATGCATGGAAGAGGGTAAGGTACCTAGGGATTGGCAGAGAGCATGCATAGTTCCTTTGTATGTAGGAAAGAGGGAAATTATTTCCCAGTAAAAGTAGGCCTTAGACAAGGATGTGTGATGTCACCGTGGTTGTTTAATATATTTATAGATGGGGTTGTAAGAGAAGTAAATGCGAGGGTCTTGGCAAGAGGTGTGGAGTTAAAAGATAAAGAATCACACAAAGTGAGAGTTGTCACAGTTGCTCTTTGCTGATGACACTGTGCTCTTGGGAGATTCTGAAGAGAAGTTGCAGAGATTGGTGGATGAATTTGGTAGGGTGTGCAAAAGAAGAAAATTAAAAGTGAATACAGGAAAGAGTAAGGTTATGAGGATAACAAAAAGATTAGGTGATGAAAGATTGGATATCAGTTTGGAGGGAGAGAGTATGGAGGAGGTGAATGTATTCAGATATTTGGGAGTGGACGTGTCAGCGGATGGGTCTATGAAAGATGAGGTGAATCATAGAATTGATGAGGGGAAAAGGGTGAGTGGTGCACTTAGGAGTCTGTGGAGACAAAGAACTTTGTCCTTGGGGGCAAAGAGGGGAATGTATGAGAGTATAGTTTTACCAATGCTCTTATATGGGTGTGAAGCATGGGTGATGAATGTTGCAGTGAGGAGAAGGCTGGAGGCAGTGGAGATGTCATGCCTGAGGGCAATGTGCGGTGTGAATATAATGCAGAGAATTCGTAGTTTGGAAGTTAGGAGGAAGTGCGGGATTACCAAAACTGTCGTCCAGAGGGCTGAGGAAGGGTTGTTGAGGTGGTTCGGACATGTAGAGAGAATGGAGCAAAACGAGTGACTTCAAGAGTGTATCAGTCTGTAGTGGAAGGAAGGCGGGGTAGGGGTCGGCCTAGGAAAGGTTGGAGGGAGGGGGTAAAGGAGGTTTTGTGTGCGAGGGGCTTGGACTTCCAGCAGGCATGCGTGAGCGTGTTTGATAGGAGTGAATGGAGACAAATGGTTTTTAATACTTGACGTGCTGTTGGAGTGTGAGCAAAGTAACATTTATGAAGGGGTTCAGGGCAACCGGCAGGCCGGACTTGAGTCCTGGAGATGGGAAGTACAGTGCCTGCACTCTGAAGGAGGGGTGTTAATGTTGCAGTTTAAAAACTGTAGTGTAAAGCACCCTTCTGGCAAGACAGTGATGGAGTGAATGATGGTGAAAGTTTTTCTTTTTCGGGCCACCCTGCCTTGGTGGGAATCGGCCAGTGTGATAAAAAAAAAAACTGTTAGCACAACAGAAATTACAATACCAATTATTACACACTGGTTTGTATCTCCTATATATGTCAACTCTTAATATAACTTCCTTCTGAAATAATGGACAAAATTCACTGGTTAAAATGCCTAATTGGTTTATTAGTAATATCTGAAATTTTCATGTACTATTCAATATTAGGTATACATTTATGTCCTCCAATACTTTTTCTGCAATTTTTTAACATTCTGATTAAAGAGACACTCAGACAATTCCTCTTATTAGTCTGTTATACTCAAAAATTATTGTACCAAGATTTATTGCTGCTCCTCAAGATTTTACACTAGCAGCACTGGCACTTCCTACAGGAAACTGTCAAGATAAAACATACATTTTTCCTTGTTTTTGCAATGTTGTATTTTTCCGTGTGGAAAGTTTTATGTCTATTAGACCTCATTTGATTCTCATGCACTCCAATAAAAAGTACTTTTTATAAAAACTTCCATACCTACCCCATATTCAAGTTAAATAATATTAAGATTTTCCCTGGCATAATGTTCATCACTGCACATAGTACAAGATAAAATTTAACCAAGAAAATAAGTATTGTTAACAGTCTTACCCTGTTCAGAAAATTGATTTCAGCTTGTATACGTTTTCTCAGTTTATTTGCACCATTGACACCGTTTTTTTCCAAGTCATACACTTGGTCAAGTTTATCTTTGGCCTCGTTGATCCTGTTTAAAGCTAGTTCTCTTGCTCGTACTCCATTCTGATGGAAAACAAAATAAATTACACATACAGTATATATTTTGTAAGGATTCTGGGTTATACGAAGCCACATCTACATAACGAACATATGGACTGAACACATCAACTCAAGGCTGAGGGACTCATTACCTCAAAATTTTCTTATTCCACCTTTTTTCTGCACTGGATGGAAGAAGCCACTGTGTACTGAAACATTTCCAGAATAAAGACACCCAAATGATGCAAAAGTGTCTCATTTATCCACAATATACTATTTCTCTATACCTAAAGTAAAAATGTGACCTCAGGGATTGTGTCTCAAGCAGAATCATCTTTGGCTTTCATCTGAATTACCAGATTTTGATATCAGCACAAGTGAAAATGTTGGTATGTTTCCTTATATCTGCTGAGGAGAAAGTCTGGCTGCAGAAGTAATGTGTCTCTCATTAATAGCAAACAAAGGCTGGAACCTCAACCACTCCTTCAAAACTGGTTCAGCTTGCTTCATATATAACATTTAGTTTTTTCTGTCTTGAACACTTACAGCTGTTGCCCTGGTCCAGTTAGCATTAAGTAGTTACTTGGGTATCTCAACTACAGTATAATAATAATAATAATAATATAATAATAATAATTTTTTTTATTTCTGCAGTAAATTTATATAAGATGAAGTACAGAAATAGCTACACAAATTATCATACCTAAGTAACATATATGTAAATTACTTAGGTAATGTAGTTTACATGTAATAAAATAGACAAAAGAAACAAAGTAGAAATAGGCCAAACTATTAGGCCTCCTTGGGTTATCTTGATTACTAATCAGAATAAAAACTTCCAAAAGTGCGTAGATAATTTTATTTTTCCTTAATAAAGCTTATCTTGATATGACGTCATTTTAGTAATTAATTTTGAATAATAATTCGTTATGTCCCGTATACATCTCTCTATATGAATTACTTCAATGAAAATTAAATATCACAATGAAACACCTAAATATAAATTTACACATTAAAAAAAATTAAGCAAAACAATAATTATACTAACCATTTTAGCAGCCGACACCGTCTCTAAGGTCGACACTTTTTTTTACGATACTGCTGTGTGCTTAGAGGCAATAACAATGGCGGAAGATGTGTCTATAGGTCTTGTTCTTCACGATAAAAGGAGTTTTCCTTGAAGTTTCCACATGAATTCGAAGTGATATACACAAGTTCCTTCTGATGACTGAAACACAAAGATGTCACCGAAATAATTTCTTGTGGAAGGCTTACATAAATAAGATCTATTATACTTTTCCCTTTCTTTATTTAAAACTAACTTATTGATCTTTAAAAATTGAAAGTACAATAACAGTAATCCTTATGTATTTTATATAACTAGTGTAGCAATGAAAGTATATAGTTTAAAAATGTAAAATTACCAAAACGTAATACGGATTTAATAATCAAGAACTGGCCAATAGGCGTGCCTAATTTTTTTTTTGTTTTGCCAAGTTAACTTTTGTATAATAATAATAATAATATAAATAATAATAATAATAATAATAATAATAATAATAATAATAATAATAATAATAATAATAATAATAATAATAATAATAATAATAATAATAATAATAATAATAATAATAATAATAATAATAATAATTAATAATATAAAATAATAATAATAATAATAATATCTCTACAAGTACATGTACAAGGTATACAGATCATGGCTGACATCAATGACATACTACTATATAGAAAGCCGCTTGTTATGCAGAGCATTTCGGGCAAATTAGGTCAGTTTAGTCCCAGGATGCGACCCACACCAGTCAACTAACACCCAGGTACCCATTTTACTGATGGGTGAACAGGGACAGCAGCCGTCCTGTGGAAGGACGTCCCTAATGTTTTCCAGCCGTACCAGAGATTCGAACTGCACCTCTCATGAAGGAGAAATATCATAATCTAATTTGAGCCTAAATTTACTTTAGCTTATTAAGGAGTTCAGGTCCAAGTTTGAGGTGAATATATTCCTTAAAATGTTCACTTTAGGTGAGTTTCATTTGTGGAAATAAACTCACCAAAGGAAGCTCAATGTAACCCAACATATAATAACCTACATAACTTAACCTTACTCCGCCAGCAGTAGATATCGGAATAGCAAGCTCTTTTTTTTACGTTTAATGCGTCTTTACTTACGCTGCTGTGACTGGCCAGGCACATCACATAACTCAACGCTAATTGTTGAATAATGTGCCACTTGTGCTAAAATAAATGCATTATTTTGTGCTAATGTCTAGGGAAATAAAAATTTGCACAAAAAAATACATTTCCTTTGCCAGGGTATGCTTGTATTTTACGTAATATATTGCGTAACTTTCTGACCAGGATCTGATCTCCATATTGACCCTGGTTTGTGTAGCAATGTTTACTATACATAAATATATTTACTTTGCATTATTTAACATCAGTTAAAATATCAATAAGGCAATTTTCAGATTGCAATAATTGAATCTACTATCTGTTGTAGCAAAACTATGGTTGTTAAATAAGCCAGAACATTGTAATATATTTTCTACTGCATTTCCCCTCAGTGTATATACCCTGAGAGCAGCAGTGTAAGTAAATAAGTAAGTTTATTTAGGTAGAGGTATCCATAAATAGTTACACAAATTATCGTACATAATGGTGGCCCGTAACCTCGTGGTGAAAGCTCTCGCTTCACACGCTGAGGGTCAGGGTTCGATTCCCGGCAATGGTTGAAATATTGGGAGTGTTTCCTTATACCTGTTGTTCATGTTCACCCATCAGTAAAATAGGTACCTGGGTGTTAGTGGACTGGTGTAGGTCGCATCCTGGGACAAAACTGACCTAATTTGCCCGAAATGCTCTGTATAACAAGTGGCTTTCTATATATTAGTATGTCATTGATGTCAGCTATGGTCTGTATACCTTGTACTTGAAGAAATAAATATATTATCATATTATTACGTGGAAATTACCTAAGATAACCCCCAAAAAAGTCAAGCAGACACTTGTATAAGGAGGGATATATACCTCAGTATACTATATATGTTTTTTTTCTAAAACCAAGGAGCTAAATGGAAATGAATCATGTTGACTTTTTTTTTTGGTTATTTACAGATAAGTTAGTCTGTCTAGCCCTTATACAATGCCATATGGACTACGCTTGCTCTTCATGGTACTCTGCCTTGACAAAAAAAAAAAAAAAAACTGAAAGATAGACTACAAATCGCCCAGAACAAAATGGTAAGATTCATCCTGGACCTGGGTTCAAGAGGACATGTAGGCCAGGATGAATCACAACAATTGGATATGCTGAATGTTGAAGTCACAGTAAAGCAACTAAAGTTAAATTAAGTCATTGCTCATAAACAGTGTCCAGAATATCTTGCTGCCAATTTTCTCAAGGCTGGGAACCAAAGCAACCATAAAACGCCCCAAAATTTGGAATTTATTACCTCTGAATACAAAAGAAACACTTTATCAATTCAAGACTCTTCTTAAAAAACACTTACTCACCCAAAACTAAATAAATATTGAATAACTGTATAGTGTAGTAAAGAAAGCGAATGTCAGACTGAAGTTCCTGTATAGACAAGCACAGTGTCTACCTACTGAGGCTCGCAGGACCCTATGTCTAGCCCTTATACAATGCCATATGGATTACGCTTGCTCTTCTTGGTACTCTGCCTTGACAAAAAAAACTGAAAGATAGACTGCAAATCACCCAGAACAAAATCGTAAGATTCATCCTGGGGCTGGGACCAAGAGAACATGTAGGCCAGGATGAATTACAGCAGTTGGATATGCTGAATGTTGAAGACAGAGTAAAACAACTGAAGATAAATCATGTTTATAAAATTGCTCACAAACAATGTCCAGAATATCTTGCTGCCAATTTTGTCAAGGTTGGGAACCAAAGCAATCATAGTACTAGGGGGAGAGAGCACAACTTTGTAGTACCCACAGTCAGTGGCCAGGCTTCAAACACCTTTTATTGTACAGCAATAAAGGAATGGAACAGACTGCCTGCACATGTCAAAGTCAGTCATAGCATGAACCAGTTCAAGAAGAGTGCCAAAAGGTGTCTGATGAATGTAGCTACAGAAAGGGAGGGGAATGATTTTCTATTTTTTTTAGCTAACATACGTGTAAATTTTACCTTATTCCTAGTAATGACCCTCGTATTGTAGATAGTCTTAATGACCCTCGTGTAGTAGATAGTCTTTTTAGTATGATAATAAGATGTTATCTTCATTGTAGAATAATAAGAAAATATTATAACCTTTATATTATAATAATAAGGTAAAAGGACCCCAATGGAAATAAGTTACTCAGTCTGACTTTTTTGGGTTATCCTAGGTTCTCTACACACATGCTGCTATGTATGATAATTCTATGTAACTGTATTTGTGTATACCTGAATAAACTTACTTACTTACATAAATGTATAATGCTACAAATTTGTAAAACTATAATGCATCATAATTAAAATGTTCAAATTTCATTGTTTAAAATACTCAATTGTACTTCATATTGTAAATTGTTTACTGTACTTTTTACCACTGAATCTATCATTGCTTATTTAATCTTAAGTTAATTTTAAGCCTGCCCATAATGGTCTACATACAAGGGACTTTTGACATGTACACTCAACTACTCTAATTCCTTGTACAACTATGTATCATGTCCAAATAAAAATTATTTTATAGTACTAGGAGGAGAGAACACAACTTTGTAGTACCCACAATCAATGGCCAGGCCTCAAACACCTTTTATTGATTATATTATTATTAAAGATTCGCCGGTATTCTCCCGGCCCGGGCCTTTTCCAAGTGGTGGCCCGGCCTTGTCTCCCTGTCTAGGGAGTGTCTGAGAGCTAAGTCTCCCATGGGAGGAGGCACAAGTACCTCCTCATCTTTGGGACCAACTGTCCCCAGGCCTAGCCACAAGCTAGGCCTCTCTGGTCTGTCATCCCCGCCCCAAGGGGGCTAATGGGAATGACAGTCTTGTGAGCTACAAGCTCCGGCTCAGGCACCTTCCCTACCCTAGAAGGGCTGGGCATGGTGTCGATCCCTTTTATTGAACATCAATAAAGGAATGGAACACATTGCCTGCACATGTCGAAGTCAGCATAAACCAGTTCAAGAAGATAACCAGAAGGTACCTAATAAATGTAGCGACAGAAAGGGAAGAGAATGATTTTTTTTTTAGCTAACGCACGTGTAAATATAAATAACTTTTTTTTACCTTATTCCTAGTATATCTCCTTTATATGTCTTTTATTGTATAATAATAGTATAATAGTAAGGTATTAAAAGGATCCCACTGGAAATAAGTAACTTTGTCTGACTTTTTTGGGTTATCCTGGGTTCTCTACATATATGCTGCTATGTATGATAATCTATGTAACTATATTTCTGTATATACTTACTTACTATGTCGACCTATACCTAAATAAACTTAAAAAGACGTTTGATTATAGAATTACCAAGGTTGGTCTCCCACCGCCAACACTTGAGGTTCATAAAATGAACAAAATGCAGCCTTTTAATGGGTGCATAACAAAATGTATTTTAATGTTTCAAAGTAAATGTTTGAGGGCACTGTACTGGCATACCAGGAGTTTATTAAAGCAGGAGATACAATATAAAGAGAGGAACCATGTGCCTGGTAGACATGTTGTTTACCTCCAGCAGTTGAAACATGATGATATGATGCCATCACAACAACGTTGATGTTCTCGTGGAAAAAAAGAAGGAATTTAATGTAGGACTTGTTGTTCATTAAGATATCATCATGGCTGCAGGCCCCATAGCAGAGCGTAACCAAGGTTTGTGTGAATTTAATTGCTGGGGTAGGATTTTTGTTAGCGGGGCGCCATTTTATTAAAAGATTATCGAGAACATCGCTGCATAATCCTATGGGTTTAGCGCTTCCCCTTGATTATAATAATAATAATAATATCGAGAACATCTGCAGGGAGGTTCCTTGATGCTGGCGAGGGAGTCTTTGATTTAAGACACTGAACCTGTGTACCGGTTCATTGAATCCAGCCTGGATGCCTTCCATCCCCCCCTCCCCTCGTGGGTGCTGTATAACCCCCTACGGATGTAGCGCTCCCCCGTAGTAAGTTTATTCAGGCACAACCTTCGAAGCAGGTTCCTTGAAGCTGGTGAGGGGCTCTTGATCTAGGGGATTGGATCTGTGCTCTGGTTCCCTGAATTGAGCCTTAATACCTTCCACCCCCCCACACATATGCTGTATAATCCTATGGGTTTAGCGCTCCCCCATAATTATAATAATTATTTAGGCACAGATACACTTAAATACATTTATCATACATAGTGTAAATTACCTAGGGTAACCCCCAAAAAAGTCAAAAGTGACTTTATTTCCATTGTGGTCTTTGTAGTATCTTATTATTTAAACCACAGTGGCCCATGGCCTGGTAGGCAACGCTCTCACCTCACACGCTGAGTGTCCGTGGTTTGATCTCCAGCAAGGGTGGAAACATTGGGCATGTTTCCTTACACCTGTTGTTCCGCTCACCTAGCAAGCAAGTAGGTCCTTGGGTGTTAGTCGACAGGTGTGGGTTGCATCCTGGGAGACAAGATTTGAGGACCATAGTGGAAATAAGACAGACAGTTCCTCGATGATGCACTGCCTTTCTGTTATCCTAGGTGGCCAACTCTCCGAGCAGAAATATCACTATGTACCCAGGTGGGTTAAAATTGAAAGGCTGCTCCTCGAAACATCACGGAGTAAATAGGGATTTCTTGGGAAAATTGGTATTTTAGGACAGCAATTTTTTTTTCCCTTTTTTTGCAGGTTTAACATTGGGGATTTATTTCAAATATTGGTTTCCTGTTTTTCTACTGTTAATTAGGTTTTGAGACATCTTAGGTTGAATTAAATACCATACAGTAAGGTTTACCTGTATAAATAATACGTATTGTTTTAAGATTTATTTCGGCTGCAGTATTTGTATGTTAACTGATAAACTTGATTTATATTTTGATTTATATTTAGGCAATAAATCATAGAACCTGTACTTTTATGCATGTAAATATTTTAATGAATTGCTATCCTTTTTTAGATGCAACAATATATGTTGGTGGTTTGGATGACAAAGTGTCAGAAGGGCTTCTTTGGGAACTGTTTGTCCAAGCTGGACCTGTAGTAAACGTCCACATGCCCAAGGATCGTGTTACCCAGCAGCATCAGGGTTATGGCTTTGTTGAATTTATGGGTGAAGAAGATGCTGACTATGCTATTAAAATTATGAATATGATAAAGGTAAGTTTTATCTTAAATACTGTAATTGTTTATATAAAAGAAAAGAATGTCAGGTTCCTTGTTTAATGAAGTTAATTAAATGTGAATGCAGTACAGAAATTTACATGATAAAGACAGCCATTTCAGAGCATACATCATACAAATCATGCACATATATGTATGTGGGCTGTTGTCAATTTTATGAGCTTCAAATTAGGTACTATATATCTGTTGTGGAATAAATTACTTGTATAATTATTTTGTTAACTACAAGTATATATATAACTGCCACTTTTTGATGGTTTGTCTTTTATATGATGAACTGGCAGCAAACTTTTATTCATTTTCCTTTCATTCATAACATCTACAATCAATCGTTTTTTCTTTACAATCATACTATATTCACACATTTTCAAGCAATCCAACATCAAAATTAACTTTTTTTTTTTTTTTTTAACACGAGAAAAGATGAATGTTACAAGGGCCATTTAGATTTGCCTGATATATTAATAAAACAGAATGGAAAACAAGTAATAATCCTGTTAAGAGTGTAAAATGTTTAGCTTGCTTCAGATTTATTACCCGTATAATGGGATGGTGGTGTCTTCTTAGTAGTCTACTGTCTATTAACTTCTAGTTTAATAATTTTCTTTTTTCATATACTGTATGCATTTACTTAAGCAACAAGTATTGCAGTCAGGCATTTAGTTGATATCAATATCTTTTGATGCAGTTATGTATACACTGAAGCTCCTTTTAACTGACAACCATGGAACCTGGAGCAAGTTGGATAATCAATAAAAGAAGTCTTGCTTGGACAGAACACTTTATCAATATTATTAGCAGGTATAGTGATGGGATGTATAGTATTTCACTTGATATTCAGTACCTCCATAGTACAGTAATTCACTAATAGTTGAATATCTTGAGTTGATTGACGTATGAACTTCTAAGGTTGCATACCTAGTACAAAATCTGAATTTGAAGGAAAGGTAGGAGTAAAATTGGTAGTTGGAACTTTACTGAACAGTGCTGTAATTCTTTATACTACCCACTCTCTAGGACCTTATATGATTTAGCACTTGCTTCTTATTTTTTTCAACACATCTGCCGTCTCCCACCAAGGCAGGGTGACCCAAAACGAAAAACACTAACATTATCATTCACACACAATCAGTCTTTGCAGAGGCATGCCCAGATATGACAGTTTAGATGTCACTCCAAACAGCCAATATCCCAAACCCCTCCTTTAACCCTTTCGGGGTTTCGTACATACTAGTACGGCTTACGCGCAGGGGTTTTTGACGTACTAGTACGCATAAATTCTAGCGCTGTCAAATCTAATGAGAGAAAGCTGGTAGGCCTACATATGAAAGAATGGGTCTATGTGGTCAGTGTGCACAGTATAAAAAAAATCCTGCAGCACACAGTGCATAATGAGAAAAAAAAAACTTTGACCGTGTTTTTGGATTAAAACAGTGACTTTGCACTCTATTTTCGTATGGTATTTATTGTTGTATTTTAGCTTTCCTGGTCTCATTTTATAGAATGGAAGACATATTACAAAAAATTGAGATGATTTTAACTGATTTTACAAAGAAAAGTATCTTGAAATTGAGCTCAAATTAGCAGAAATGTTTGATTTTTACCAAAGATCAAAAGTAAACAAATCATGCTAAGCGTCCAATACACGTCAACTGGTGAGTCTAATATTCTTTCACGAGTGCGCTGATATTATTTATACCATTTCTACACTAATGCAGTAGTCTGCATAACAGTAAATCTTTTATTTTTTTGTGAGAATAAAAATTCAAAGTGGAAAGCAAAAGAGTGTAAGAGGGGCATAGGAACGTGACTAATGAACAGAGGAAATGTTATTTTAGTGCCAGGAATGTCTTTCTTGTTTATTCTGGACTGTATGTATTTGGAAATTGGCATCTTTTGAAATATGTGTGAAATTGGCAAAATTGCTAAATTCTGACCACTGTATTGGATAGTTGAAATCGGTAAATGGGTGGTTTCTTGTACTCATTCGATAGAAAAAATGGAGTTCTAGCGAAATAGTTATGATTTTTGTCAACTTGTATACTGGAATTGGCCGAAAATAGGGCTCAAAGTGAGCAAAATCCCTGATGCGTAAACATCTTTGAGACCGCTAACTTCGCGAGAGCATATCTCCATAAATTTTCCATCAAATTTCATACTTTTGGTGTCATTATGATCGGGAAAAGATTCTCTATCTTTTCATAAGAAAAAAATTTTTTTTTTTTTTTGTTTTGAAATTTGGCCGACCCTGAGAACAAGTCTATGAGAGGACCTGCCGACCCCCAAAGGGTTAAAGTGCAGGCAGTGTATGTCCCACCTCCAGGACTCAGGTCTGGCTAACTAGTTTCCCTGAATCCCTTCACAAAATATTACCCTGTTCACACTCCAAGAGCTCATCAGGTCCTGAAAACCATTCATCTCAATTCACTCCTATCTTACACACTCACGCATGCCTGCTGCATGCCCAGGCCCCTTGCACACTAAACCTCTTTTACCCCCCCCCCCCTCCGTCCATCATCAGTGATTTACATTATCCAAAAACCCACCGCTGAATACATACATATTTCTTTGTTTTTCTCCATTTCAGCTGGTTTTCTTATTTTTTATTATTGAGATATGCAATATTACTGATGTTCCATTATGTTCTTAGCTGTTTGGCAAACCCATAAGAGTCAATAAGGCATCTGCCCATCAGAAGAACTTGGATGTTGGTGCAAATATATTCATTGGCAATTTGGATCCAGAGGTGGATGAGAAGCTTCTTTATGATACCTTCTCTGCTTTTGGAGTCATTCTACAAACACCAAAGGTAAGAATCTCTTAATATTTTGTTCATTTAAGCCCTTGTCATAGTTCCAAAAGTAGATTTAATTTTTTCCAATATGCTAAAAATTTATTCTCTTTATCATCTCTATTTTGCTTACTTTTTCAACAAGCAAGCTGGCATTAAAAATTATACTTTCTCATTTTTATAATCAACTTTTGAGGTGTCAGTTACCCCACTTACATTGCTTAAAAGACCTTTATATAAATTACAAATACTAGAGTATTCGTCAGTTACCCCACTTACATTGCTTAAAAGACCTTTATATAAATTACAAATACTAGAGTATTCAAAAACAAGGGGAACAGGACTGTGTTTGGATAAGTCAGAGGTTTGGTAAGCACATTAGACTTTTGAGGCATGCTTGATGGCATATCAGAGTAAGTATTTTGATACCATACACCAATACAGTTGATCCAGAAAAATCTGAAAAAAGTGTTCCTGGTTATAAAAATCTACATTTTTTTAATTATTTTGCATCCAAAATATGTGAATCCTCTATATATATATTCATTTCTAAAAGATCTTATAGGAAATATCAATCCTCCTTTAAAACACCACGAAAAGACCTTATACCAAAAATTATGGGGAATAAGATTTAGAACTATTTCTTGCAAATAACAATTTAATCCAGTGAACTCAGTAATAAACAGAAAATGACCAAACCTGCAATATGCAGCAGCATTGGTGTAGTTTATGCTCCTAAATAAGTGGATAAGATAGAAAAGGTCCAAGAACAAGCTACAAAATGGCTCCCAGAGCACAAAATATAAGCTACAGAGAAATGCTGAAAATGTTAAATATGCTCTTCATTGGCTGATGAGATCATAAAAAAGGTACAAAAAAGAAAAAAAGATTCCTTAGGATCATCAGCATATATGAGGCCACAGTAGTAACTGGGGAATAAACAGTGCTTGAAGGATCCTAGAAAATTTTCTTTACAATATTGGAACAATGGAATGGGATCAAAGAGTAGGTAATCATTACAGCTACAGATGGGGCACCACCAGCATAGTGCTGCTCCTGCAGCTACAGTAGGTAATCACACACACTGTAAATGCTTGTACTTAGTATGCCTTACAAAAATTATTATTATTGAACAATGATGGTTAATTGTAAATTCTTTATTTTTTACAGATTATGAGAGATCCAGACACGGGCAACTCAAAAGGTTATGCGTTTATAAATTTTGCTTCCTTTGAAGCATCTGATGCTGCCATTGAAGCAATGAATGGGCAGTACCTATGTAATCGGTCAATTAGTATATCTTATGCCTTCAAGAAGGACAGTAAAGGAGAACGGCATGGTACAGCAGCTGAGCGTTTGCTTGCAGCTCAAAACCCATTATCACAAGCTGATAAACCTCACCAGTTGTTTGCTGATGCTCCCCCACCACCAACACAATCTGCCCCTCCTCCTCCTGCACCACCACCCCCTCCATCAAGTGGAATGGCACCAAATGCACCCCCTGGCATGTCTGTGCCACCACCTGGCATGCTAGTCCCACCTCCACCTCCAGTACCACCACCACCTGGTACTACTTCCTCTATTCCTCCTCTTCCTAATGCTCCACCCACAAGTTCTGTACCCCCACCACCTGGATCTGCTCCTCCTCTTCCTCCCATGCCTCCACCACCATCAAAACCTCCTCTTCCTGGTCAGCCTCCTCTTCCTCCTTCTGGTCCCCCAGGGCCTCCTGTTCCAGGTGGGCCTCCAACTACAAGCTCAGGACAGATGCCGCCATATGGGCATTATCCACCCCGCCCTGGTATGCCTCCACCTCCTTGGCAAGGTGGGCCTGGCATGCCACCACCACCTGGTATGCCTCCACCACGACCTGGTCCTCCAGGAATGCCTCCCCCACCAGGAATGAGGCCACCGCCTCCAGGATGGAGACCTCCACATCCAGGTGGCCCCCCTGGAAGGCCTCCATTTGGGAGACCCCCTTATCCTCCAAGAGGTCCTCCTGGGCCACCACCAATGCCAGGAATGGGACCACATATGCGGGGTGGGCCTCCATTGCCTCCAGGCCCTCCTCCATCTGGAGGACCTATGCCTCCTGGTCCTCCACCCCGAGGAATGAGGCCTCCACCTCCTGGGGTACCAGTTTCCAGTGGTCAGAGTGGCCCCCCTCCCCCAGGAATGGCGCCACCTCCACCACCACCACCTCGTCCACCATTGCCACCCCCTCCTCCAGGTGGAGAGAAGTAGTTACTAGGATCACTCTCAAGAGGTTTAACATGGTCAAATTTCCATGCATTATTCTTAATATATAGTACACATGAGTGGACTTGGAATTAGTATACTGTAATTAAATTGCTTACTATAATGGTCCATACATTTTTAATAAATACAATTCAAAAAATGTTGTTTCTTTGCCAAGTATATTGGAGAGTTGTGAAATCCTTGAACATTATACAGAATTAATTTCATGTACAGTATTACATGTTAAATCAATGAAGAAATTTTTAGTATGAACTATAAATCTGGATTTGGAAGTTGCTGGAATGCAATCCTCCTAATATAATTCTTGACTATTAACATAGTTTGACCTCCAAACTATGCGGGAAGTATCCAGAAATATATGCAACGAGAGACTGGAGGGAGTGTGGAGGAAGCAAATGTGTTCAGATATTTGGGAGTGGACTTGGTGGATGGTTATATGAAATGAACCATAGCACTGATGGAAGGAAAAAGGTGGATGGTGCACTGAGGAATTTGTGGAGACAAAGAACTTCATCCATGAAGGCAAAAAGGGGAATGTACTATAGTATAGTGTTACGAACACTTAAGGATGTGAAATGTGGGTTTTGAATGTATCATGGGGAAGTGGAACAGAATTCTTCCTCCATAAGCCGTGCGTGTCGTAAGAGGCGACTAAAATGCCGGGAGCAAGGGGCTAGTAACCCCTTCTGTATATATTACTAAATGTAAAAGGAGAAACTTGTTTTTCCTTTTGGGCCACCCCGCCTCGGTGGGATATGGCTGGTGTGTTGAAAGAAAGAAGCAAGGAGGCTAGAGGTAGTGAAGATACGTCTGATGAGAGCAGTGTGTGTGGTGTAAATATATGCAGAGAATTCAGTTTGGAGATTAGGAGGTGGTGTGGAGTTACCAAAGTATTATTCAGATGGGTGAGGAAGGGGATGGGTTGAAGTGGTTTGGACATTTAGAGAGGATGGAAAAAAATAGGAAGACATAGAGAGTGTGAAGACATAGAGTGGAGTGGAGGGGCTGGGGTTGTCCTAGGAGAGGTTAGAGGGAGAAGGGCTTGGATATCCAACAGACTTGTGTGAAAGTATTAGATATGGACGAGTACAGGCAAGTTTTTTTGAATAATCTGATGTGCTGTTGGAGTGGGAGTAAGGTAACATTTGTAAAAGGACTCAAGAAAACCAGTTAGCTGACCTCTAGTCTTTCAGGTCTGTATAGCCCTTGTGGCTTAGTGCTTCTTTTTTATTATAATAATAATAATAATAGTCTTTCAGGTGGGAAGGAGTGGGGATGTTGCAGTTTGGAAGATTATCTGAACTGTAATGCCACTATTCTTTTGGTAAGACAATGAACGAGTGCCTGTGAGTGTGCTGCTTTTTTGGGTAAAAGCAGGGGGGGGATATAGTGTTGGAGTGGTTGGTATTTTTGTTTAATAAATGTATGAAAGAGGGGAAGGTACCTAGACATTGACAGAGAGCATGTATAGTTCCTTTATATAAAGGGAAGGGGATAAAAGAGATTGTAAAAATTATAGAGGAATAAATTTAGTGAGTATACCAGGAAAAGTGTACAGTAGGGTTATTGAAAGAATTAGAAGTAACACAGAATGTAGGATTGCGGATGAGCAAGGAGGCATTAGAGTGGGTAGGGGATGTGTAGATCAAGTCTTTACATTGAAGTATATATGTGAACAGTATTTAGATAAAGGTAGGGAAGTTTTCATTGCATTTATGGATTTGGAAAAGGCATATGATAGAGTGGATAGGGGAGCAATGTGGCAGATGTTGCAAGTAGTATATGGAATAGGTAGTAAGTTACTAAATGCTGTAAAGAGTTTTTATGAGGATAGTCCCCTCAAGGAAGGTTCCTTGATGTTGGTGAGGGGCTCTTGATTAAGGGAATTGGATCTGTGCTCCAGTTCCCCGAATTAAGCCTGAATGCCTTCCACATCCCCCCCAGGCGCTGTATAATCCTCCGGGTTTAGCGCTTCCCCCTTGATTATAATAATAATATGAGGATAGTGAGGCTCAGAGTGTGTAGAAGAGAGGGAGACTACTTCCTGGTAAAAGTAGGTCTTAGACAGGGATGTGTAATGTCACCATGGTTGTTTAATATATATTATAGATGGCTTGTAAAAGAAGTAAATGCTAGGGTGTTCGGGAGAGGGGTGGGATTAAATTATGGGGAATCCAATACAAAACGGGAATTGACACAGTTACTTTTTGCTGATGATACTGTGCTTATGGGAGATTCTAAAGAAAAGTTACAAAGGTTAGTAGATGAGTTTGGGAGAGTGTGTAAAGGTAGAAAGTTGAAATTGAACATAGAAAAGAGTAAGGTGATGAGAGTATCAAGTGATTTTAAGAAAAATTGGATATCAAATTGGAGAGAGGGAGTATGGAAGAGGTGAATGTTTTCGGATACGTATTTGGGAGTTGATGTGTCAGCGGATGGATTTATGAAGGATAAGGTTAACCATAGAATTGATGAAGGAAAGAAAGGTGAGTGGTGCATTGAGGTATATGTGAAGACAAAAAACGTTATCTATGGAGGCAAAGAAGGGAATGTATGAAAGTATAGTGGTACCATCACTCTTACATGGGTGTGAAGCTTGGGTTGTAAATGCTGCAGCGAGGAGACGGTTGGAGGTGGTGGATATGTCCTGACTAAGGGCAATGTGTGGTGTAAATATTATGCAGAAATTTCGTAGTGTGGAAATTAGGAGAAGGTGTGGAGTTAATAAAAGTATTAGTCAGAGGAGTGAAGAGGGATTGTTGAGGTGGTTTGGTCACTTAGAGAGAATGGATCAGAGTATAATGACATGGAGAGCATATAAATCTGTAGGGGAAGGAAGGCGGGGTAGGGGGTCGTCTGCGAAAAGGTTGGGGGGAGGGGATAAAGGAGGTTTTGTGGGCTGCTCTGCAAACGAATTTTGTTTAATGGCAGTTTTGTTTAATGGCTTATAACTTTAAATTTTAGTTTAGATGTATGTAAAGTTCTCCATGGGGAAGTGGAATGGAATTCTTCCGTAAACCATTTGTGTTGTAAGAGGCGACTAAAATACCAGGAGCAAGGGGCTAGTAACCCCTTCTGAATACATTACCAAATTTAAAAGAAGAAACTTTTTCTTTTTAGGTCACCCTGCCTAGGTGGAATATGGTCGGTTTGATAAAAAAAAAAAGTGTGAAGTCAAATTTTAGAGTAATCAACTTCAAAGTTTATTTTGTGTATCATTGTGGATTTAGTGCCTCTTTGTAAATATGTTGCAAAAATAATCGTGCACACAAGTTTGTGCTGTGTTATGCATTGGTTGGATCCTTTTTTTTTCATATTGTCAGAAAAACTTGACAACCCCTCAGAATTTTATTTCAGATTACATTGTTATAGTATATACTGTAATTATTATATAGTCAGAAGTATCACGATACCTCAAGTAGGTACCGTGATGCTTGTGAGGGGCTCTTGATCAAAGGACTGGACCAGGGCTTGATCAACCAGGCTGTGTCTTAACTGCCTCGCATGAGATGCTTTATGAGAGTTACTTGTATGACACTTCCCTGTGAATGTAATAATGTCTGTTCTAGTCTGTCTCCTCAGGGAAGGTTCCTTGAAGTTGGTGAGTGGCTCTTGAGTAAAGGACTTCGACCTCACCTCTTTCTTGGATTGAAAGTGAATGCCTTCCATTCCCCAGGCACTGTATGACCCCTTGGGGTTTAGCACCTCCATTCTAAATATACTAATATTCTAGCCTGAATGTCTGTACCCCTACATTTTTCTATTCCCCATGGGAATACCATCACCATGACAACAGCATTATCTTCACCCTGACAAGTGTCACTGTCACTGAGGGACTGTCTGTCTTATTTCCATTGGGTTCTCAAGCTTGTTCCCCAGGATGCGACCCACACCAGTTGATTAACACCCAGGTACCTGCTAGTACATGTATGCTTGTTAGGTGAACGGGACAACAGGTGTAAGGAAACACGCCCAATGTTTCCACCCTTGCCGGGGATTGAACCATGGACACACAGTGTATGAAGTGAGAGCATTACCTACCAGGCCACTGCCTCCCTAATCCTTCAGGTTAATAATTCGAATAAGGTTGTCCTCTGGCAGGCATTAGGTATGGCAACTTACAGGATTTGTACGGGTTTTTGAGCTCGTTTTAGAATGTAATAATGACCACCTGCCTTGGGGCCCCCCTTTAGGGAAGGGGGGGTTGTCATTCCCTTCCCCCATAGGCTGACTGGCTCTATTGACCTCTCAAGTTGCTTTGATGCCAGTGAGGGCTCCTGATCCAAGGAACTGGAACTATCAAGCCTACCCTTAAGAGAGATGCCAGTGAAGAGCTCTTGATCCAAGAAACCAAGCTTCTCTCCTGGGATGTAACCTGGATGGCTCCCATTTCTCTAAGTGCTACGTGACTCCTGCAGGCTTAATCCCTCCCCGTAAATAATAATAATAATAATACATGTATAGTATTCTACAAGTACAAGGTATACAGTCCTAGCTAACATCAATGACATACTACTACCATATTGAAAGCCAATTGTTATGCAGAACATACAATACAATACTTTATTTGGACATGATACATAGTTGTACAGGAATTATAGTTGGGTGTACATGCCATAAGCCCCTTGTATGCAGGCATTATAGGTAGGCTTAAAATTAACTTTAGATTAACTAAGCAATGACATATTCAGTGGCAAAATAGAGCATGAAGTACAAATGAGTATTTTAAGCAATGAAATTTGAACATTTCAATTAAGAGGCATTATAGCTGTATAAATTTGTAGCATAACAATGTATAATATAACAAAATGATCAATATACTATCTGAAGTGCAGAAACAGGTCATATGGTTATTAGATAAGTTGCTGTGCATTCAAGAGAATGGATTATTGTATTAGGTAATGTAATTAAAAAAACATAGCTTGATAGGGTCACAGGTTACACTTTTATGAACTACAGTTACAGTATTCAATATTTTGTATTCACGGGTAATGAATTCCAGATTTTTGGGCCTTTTATGTGCATTGAGTTTTTACATAGTGTGAGATGGACACGGGGAACATCAAAGAGTTATCTGTGCCTTGTGTTATGGTCATGTGTTCTGTTGACGTTGGTAAGAAGTAGTTTGAGGGGAGGGTTTATATCTGAGTTTATTGTTCTTCATCAGAGTATAAAACAAATTCCAGCCACACAATAGAGCGAAAAACTAACGTCAAAGACCTGGGAGTGATCATGTCGGAGGATCTCACCTTCACAGACCATAACATTGTATCAATCACATCTGCTAGAAAAATGACAGGATAGATAATGAGAACCTTCAAAACTAGGGATGCCAAGCCCATGATGACACTTTTCAGGTCACTTATTCTATCTAGGCTGGAATATTGCTGCACACTAACAGCACCTTTCAAGGCAGGTGAAATTGCTGACCTAGAAGAGGTACAGAGAACCTTCATGGCACGCATAACGGAGATAAAACACCTCAATTACTGGGAGCGCTTGAAGTTCCTGAACCTGTACTCCCTGGAATGCAGGCGGGAGAGATACATTATTATATACACCTGGAAAATCCTAGAGGGACTAGTACCAAACTTGCACACGAAAATCACTCTCTATGAAAGCAAAAGACTCGGCAGACGATGCAACATCCCCCCAATGAAAAGCAGGGGTATCAGTAGCATGTTAAGAGACAACACAATAAGAGTCAGGGGCCCAAGACTGTTCAACTGCCTCTCAACATACATAATGGGGATTACTAATAGACCCCTGGCTGTCTTCAAGCATGCACTGGACAAGCACCTAAAGTCGGTACCTGACCAGCCGGGCTGTGGCTTGTACGTTGGATTGCGTGCAGCCAGCAGTAACAGCCTGGTTGATCAGGCCCTGATCCGCCATGAGGTCTGGTCACAGACCGGGCCGCGGGGGCGTTGATCCCCGGAACTCTCTCCAGGTAAACTCCAGGTATGTAGTAGGCACATAATAAGTATGGATGTTTTGTACAGTGAGTAAGTTTAGACTTTTGAATATTGGTGGAGTATGCTGCCTGTAGTGGGAATTTGTTATCATTCTGACTGCAGCATTTTGTTGGGTAATTAATGGTCTGAGATGATTTATTCTTGTTGAGCCCCATGCACAGATTCCATAGGTGAGATAGGGGTAAATGAGTGAGTGATATAGGGCCAGGAGAGCTGATTGTGGAACATAGTACCCTATCTTCGATAGTATGCCTACGGTCTTGGAGATTTTCTTGGAAATTTGTTGTAGATGTGTTTGAAATTTGAGTCTATTATCAAGGTGGATTCCTAAGAATTTTCCCTCTGTGAGTTCTGTGATAGGTGATCCGTTTATCATTATGTTAAGAGGAAAATCTGTAGTTCTGTTCCCAAACTGAATGAAGTAAGTTTTGTCAATACTGAGAGTAAGCTTGTTATTCATCATCCAGGTAGATATTTTCTGTAATTTGGTGTTTACAGTATTGGCTAGTATGACTGGGCTTGGGCGAGATAAGATGTATATTGTGTCATCTGCAAATAGTGTGGGTTTGAGTAGTTGCAATGCATTTGGTAGGTCATTTATGTAAATGAGAAAGAGAAGAGGGCCAAGGACACAACAAATCATGGTCAACTGTATCAAAAGCTTTACGTAAATCAGTGAAGATCCCCATTGGGACTTCTTTTTTTCTCGAGTGCAGTGTATATTTGTTTAATTATTTATATTATTATAATCAAGGGGGAAGCACTAAACCCGTAGGATTATACAGCGCCTATGGGGGGATGGATGGCATTCAGGCTTAATTCAGGGAACTGGAGCACAGATCCAACTGGAGCACAGATCCAATTCCCTAGATCAAGAGCCCCTCACCAGCGTCAAGGAGCCTTCCTTGAGGGGTATATTTGTTTAAGCATGTGGATAATAGCATCATTAGTATTTTTATTAGGCCTGAACCCAAACTGACAGGGGTTGAGTATGTTGTGGGAGATGAGGTAGGAATAAATTCGCTTATGAATTAATTTTTCAAAGATTTTAGAGAGAAGGGGTAAGTTGGATATTGGCCTATAGATATTCAAGTCTGCTTGATCTCCACCTTTATATATCGGGGTGACCCTCGCTATTTTGAGAACTGTGGGGAAGGTAGAGGATTCGATGGATTTGTTAAAGAGTATTGCAGTGATTGGTGACTACTTGTGAAGCTTTAAGGTCAGCTTTGTCCCAGGAAGCGACCCAGACCATTTGACTAACACCCTGGTACCCATTTGACTGATGGGGAACATAGACAACCGGTATAAAGAAACACGCCCAATGTTTCTACCCTCGCTTGGAATCGAATCCGGACCTTGCTGTGTGAAGCGAGAGCTTTAGCCACCAGGCCACGGGGCACGTTATTAAAATTGTTTAAGGGGCCTAATGCACTAATAATAATAATAATTTTTCCTTCCTTATTCTTCTCCTTCTCATAAATTGTGTATGGGGGAATATTATTATTCCCGCCAAGCATTTTTATTCAAAACAAATTAGAGACATCTTATATACCATACAGAACGTTCCTAAAGTGGCACAACCACACACTGTTATGAAACATCACATGCAAGATGCAGCTGCAGATGAATAATGAGTCGTTTTGAAGAATACTTTTATGTATAAATTAAAGATATTATACTTTAAAAGACTAAAATTGTCTCTTGAGGACTTGGGTTGATCAAGTTGCTACATAGAACGTTATAATTATATTTATGTCATAATCTGAATTCTCAGGTTATAAATGGTGCTCTTGTATTGAAGCTGTAGGTTTTGTGTATATTATAGATGATTAGTTTAGGGTGATATGTTATAGAATGTTTAAACGGAGGGTATAATAGGGTTATTTAGCATTGTTACAGGTGGTTCCCTTTTGAAGTATTGGAACCAAACAAAGAAAATCTTGATGTCTTCTCTTCGTTACTGTTTGTTTCATAGAAATTACTCGTCAATAAGAAGAATGTGTGTTGGATTGATGTGTATATAAGCTAAACATTCCTTCGTGCAGGTGAGCTAAATGTTGTCTGATGCTGGGAGTGAAGCTGAGGCTGTTTTTTGGATGTATTGAAACGTTGAAGCTTAGCTGTTTGAGGACTGACTCTTGAAGGGGGAGTGCCTTGATGCTCAGGGGTTCTTGATCCAGGAAAATAGAGCTATCCACCCCCTTCCTAGGATCAAACTTGGTTGCCTTCCCATCCCCGAACACTGGTTTTTAAGGACTCGTGGCGTACCCATGAATATAATAATGGTCGAGTACAGTGGATAGTCACAGTGTTTGAATATAAGTAAGTAAGTAAGTTTATTCAGGTATACACAAATACAGTTACATAGATTTATCATACATAGCAGCATATGTGTGAGAGAACCAGGATAACCCAAAAAAGTCAGACTGAGTGACTTATTTCCATTGGGTTATTTTAGGTTGAATTTACATACTGTGTTATATATTTGTGCTCGTAATACTTGTGGGCCCTCAAGACCATTGTAAAAATTTGAACATATTTGTAAAAATGGAATGAAAGCTTTGAAGAGTAATATATTAATGACTTTGTTCAACATTTGCAGTCAAGGGTTAATTGGTAAGTAGGTTTATTTAAGTATAGGTACACATAAGTACAGTTATCATATATTGTAACGTAGGTATAAATTACCTAGGATAACCCAAAGAAAAGTCAAAGTGACTTACTTCCATTGTAGTCCATCATTTGGTAGTTCTGGAGCTAGTTCTTTGGAGGTATTCCACCACATGCCAATTCTTGAGCCAGACAGTCAGTTATTGGCTTGTGGCTCAGTAGCACCAACTCATTTGAAGGACCTTAGTACAACAACTCAGGTAGCCCTTTAGCCCTTAAACTGTCCAAACAGATCTACGTTCACATGCGCAGTGCTCCAAAAGTAGATCTACCTTTTTTTTTACATATCTTCAAATACGTGTATAACAAAAAAAAAGTAGATCAAAGTTTTTTTTTACACATTTTCAAATGTAAAAAAAAAAAAGATCTATGTTTTTTTACATACTTTCAGATGTTGAAAAAACGTAGATCTATGTTTGGACAGTTTAAGGGTTAAACATCAGCAAACAATTTTCAGTTATGTGTACGGTATAGTATTATAAATAAACTTTATTTGACAACCTATTGAGATCTAGCTGAGGTGGTACCATAATGTGCATTAGAAAGTCAGAGTGCAGGTTATGTTCCTCATTAAAATGAGGTTTGAACAATCAATATACATAAAGAAGTAGCATGGCAGCAGGCCTACCAGCCCTTGCTAGGCAGGTCCAAGTCACCTACTGGTCCAAGCCAGTCAGGTCCAACTCTCACCCACTCATACTGTTTGGAGGGAGGGGGTAAAGGAGGTTTTGTGTGCGATGGGCTTGGCCTTCCAGCTAGCATACCTGAGCGTGTTAGATAGGAACTAATGGAGACAAATGGTTTTTTGGGATTTGACGTGCTGTTTGAGTGTGAGCAAGGTAACATTTATGAAGGGATTCAGGGAACCCGACAGGCCGGACTTGAGTCCTAGAGATGGGAAGTACAGTGTCACACACTGGAAGAGGGGTGTTAATGTTGCAGTTTTATAATTGTAGTGTAAGCGCACCTTTGGCAAGATAATGATGGGGTGAATGACGAAAGTTTTTCTTTTTCAGGCCACCCTGCCTTGGTGGAAGATGGCTGATGTGTTAATAAAAAATAAAAATAATATGTATGTCAGTCAGTAAAGTTTTTGCCAGTAGAACCAGCCTTTGCTCTAAATTGCTGCCCCACAACCAGCAATAAAATTTTTAGATGGACTTGTTTGAAATTTCCAGGAATGTGTAGTTGACAGTACGGTACAGCTAATTTTTTTTTTCTGCAGTGACAGGAACAGATTTTCAGATTAAGGTCTAGAGGTCAAACTGGCTAAGTAGTTTTTTATATTTCTGGTATGTCTTTTTTTTTTTGTTTTCTTGTAACACAGAGTACAGTACTCCGTGTTACAGAGTACTGTACTGGGAAATTACAACAGTATCTACTATCTACCCATTCTTCAGTTTCTTTAAATGATGCTGTGTGCTTTACCAGGAAAATATAAATACAGTGGAACTCCGGCTTTCGCACGTGCCAGTTATCGGACGTTTCAGTTTTAGGACTGTTTTTTGTGTGAAATTTTGTTCCGGATATTGGACCTTGATCCAGTAATCAGACATATTATACACGTCTGCCTGGGCCGCTCATACGTTCATGACTCACTCTTAGGCACATTAAATGTTTTGCTTTACGTTAATACGTATAGACATTTTCATTAATCCATTATGATATTTTCTTCAAAATTATATAAGAAACACGGTGCATAGCATAGTATAAACATGCAATGTGCTATCAAGTGGTGAGTTGGTGGAGGGAAAACATTACATTTTCTCTTTTTCTCTGGTCAAGCATTAGAGAAAACTGTATGAATCTGTGTCTGGCTTTTGTTTACAATTCTCGGCATGAATTACTCATTACTTCTCCCTTTGTTTATGATGGCATCTAAAGGTAGTTGTTAGAAATGATTAAAGTCAGTGAACAAGTATGTTGATGGTAATAATATGGCTGTGGGCTGCATTAAATATCGTGTAGCTGTGTTGGTAGGTGTATGTATGTAGCCCAGGCTACCTACTAGCTACCTACCTCTACCGGCTACATACCTCTATTGGCTACTTATATCTACCAGCTAATTAGTAAGTAAGTTTATTCAGGTATACACAAATACAGTTACAGGGATTATCATACATAGCAGCATATGTGTAGAGAACCTAGGATAACCCTGAAGAGCTGCAACACTATAGTTAATTTTTAAAAAATTAATTTTTTTGTTAATATTTTTGGGTCGCTGAAACGGATTAATTGCATTTACGTTATTTCTTGTGGGAAATATTGAATCAGTTTTCGCACGTTTCGGTTTTAGAACGGCCTTCTGGAACGCATTAAGTTCGAAAACTGGGGTTCCACTGTGCGTGTATGCTGTATAATTTGAATTGAAATGTATTATCATTGTTCTTGGGGTAAAGTTAATTTTAAAACTGAAGAACAGTTTTCAGTACATTGTGATAGTGCTGTAATGTGAGATCTAGGGCATTGTGACTAATAGTTTTCTTGCGGTTGCTTTTTAGAACATTAAGGCAAAAAAATTCTGATAATATGTTTAAACCTTTTAAGTAATGCTGATAAATTTATATTGTGTAGGGGAAGGCAATATCACCAAGATGGCAGATGGGATGCTCTCATTATCATGGAACAATCACAGCAGTACATTTTGTCATATGCTTTCACAGCTAAGACATAAGGTAAGCTTTCCTTGCTTATATCACAGTATGGTATACTAGATATTTTTAACCCTTAAACGGTCCAAGCAGATCGACGTTCAACTTCGTAGTGCTACAAAAATAAATCTACTTTTTTTTACATATTTTCATTTATAAAAAAAAAAAATGTAGATAAAAGTTTTTTTTACGCGTTTTCAAATGTAAAACAAAAAAGATCTACATTTTTTTACATACTTTCAGATGTTGAAAAAACGTATATATATACGTTTGGACCATTTAAGGGTTAAACTATTAAACTGAGCATGATGTACAGTCTATACATGTATGTCCATGTAGGCAGCTCGGCCATGGCCATGATGTATGTACAGTATACCTGAAAATCATGGTGTGATCAAATGAAGCTTGCATTTTAACTTATGTCATGATACCATTTGAGCTTGTGCACAAAATTTATATCCAGGCAAAGATCTTTGTGTCCTTTGATTTTATTATTATTTTTTATTATCACACCGGCCGATTCCCACCAAGGCAGGGTGGCCCGAAAAAGAAAAACTTTCACCATCATTCACTCCATCACTGTCTTGCCAGAAGGGTGCTTTACACTACAGTTTTTAAACTGCAACATTAACACCCCTCCTTCAGAGTGCAGGCACTGTACTTCCCATCTCCAGGACTCAAGTCCGGCCTGCCGGTTTCCCTGAATCCCTTCATAAATGTTACTTTGCTCACACTCCAACAGCACGTCAAGTATTAAAAACCATTTGTCTCCATTCACTCCTATCAAACACGCTCACGCATGCCTGCTGGAAGTCCAAGCCCTCGCACACAAAACCTCCTTTACCCCCTCCCTCCAACCCTTCCTAGGCCGACCCCTACCCGCCTTCCTTCCACTACAGACTGATACACTCTTGAAGTCATTCTGTTTCGCTCCATTCTCTCTACATGTCCGAACCACCTCAACAACCCTTCCTCAGCCCTCTGGACAACAGTTTTGGTAATCCCGCACCTCCTCCTAACTTCCAAACTACGAATTCTCTGCATTATATTCACACCACACATTGCCCTCAGACATGACATCTCCACTGCTCCAGCCTTCTCCTCGCTGCAACATTCATCACCCACGCTTCACACCATATAAGAGCGTTGGTAAAACTATACTCTCATACATTCCCCTCTTTGCCTCCAAGGACAAAGTTCTTTGTTTCCACAGACTCCTAAGTGCACCACTCACTCTTTTTCCCTCATCAATTCTATGATTCACCTCATCTTTCATAGACCCATCCGCTGACACGTCCACTCCAAATATCTGAATACGTTCACCTCCTCCATACTCTCTCCCTCCCAATCTGATATTCAATCTTTCATCACCTAATCTTTTTGTTATCCTCATAACCTTATTCTTTCCTGTATTCACCTTTAATTTTCTTCTTTTGCACACCCTACCAAATTCATCCACCAATCTCTGCAACTTCTCTTCAGAATCTCCCAAGAGCACAGTGTCATCAGCAAAGAGCAGCTGTGACAACTCCCACTTTGTGTGTGATTCTTTATCTTTTAACTCCACGCCTCTTGCCAAAACCCTCGCATTTACTTCTCTTACAACCCCATCTATAAATATATTAAACAACCACGGTGACATCACACATCCTTGTCTAAGGCCTACTTTTACTGGGAAAAAATTTCCCTCTTTCCTACATACTCTAACTTGAGCCTCACTATCCTCGTAAAAACTCTTCACTGCTTTCAGTAACCTACCTCCTACACCATACACTTGCAACATCTGCCACATTGCCCCCCTATCCACCCTGTCATACGCCTTTTCCAAATCCATAAATGCCACAAAGACCTCTTTAGCCTTATCTAAATACTGTTCACTTATATGTTTCACTGTAAACACCTGGTCCACACACCCCTACCTTTCCTAAAGCCTCCTTGTTCATCTGCTATCCTATTCTCCGTCTTACTCTTAATTCTTTCAATTATAACTCTACCATACACTTTACCAGGTACACTCAACAGACTTATCCCCCTATAATTTTTGCACTCTCTTTTATCCCCTTTGCCTTTATACAAAGGAACTATGCATGCTCTCTGCCAATCCCTAGGTACCTTACCCTCTTCCATACATTTATTAAATAATTGCACCAACCACTCCAAAACTATATCCCCACCTGCTTTTAACATTTCTATCTTTATCCCATCAATCCCGGCTGCCTTACCCCTTTCATTTTACCTACTGCCTCACGAACTTCCCCACACTCACAACTGGCTCTTCCTCACTCCTACAAGATGTTATTCCTCCTTGCCCTATACACGAAATCACAGCTTCCCTATCTTCATCAACATTTAACAATTCCTCAAAATATTCCTTCCATCTTCCCAATACCTCTAACTCTCCATTTAATAACTCTCCTCTCCTATTTTTAACTGACAAATCCATTTGTTCTCTAGGCTTTCTTAACTTGTTAATCTCACTCCAAAACTTTTTCTTATTTTCAACAAAATTTGTTGATAACATCTCACCCACTCTCTCATTTGCTCTCTTTTTACATTGCTTCACCACTCTCTTAACTTCTCTCTTTTTCTCCATATACTCTTCCCTCCTTGCATCACTTCTACTTTGTAAAAACTTCTCATATGCTAACTTTTTCTCCCTTACTACTCTCTTTACATCATCATTCCACCAATCGCTCCTCTTCCCTCCTGCACCCACTTTCCTGTAACCACAAACTTCTGCTGAACACTCTAACACTACATTTTTAAACCTACCCCATACCTCTTCGACCCCATTGCCTATGCTCTCATTAACCCATCTATCCTCCATAGCTGTTTATATCTTACCCTAACTGCCTCCTCTTTTAGTTTATAAACCTTCACCTCTCTCTTCCCTGATGCTTCTATTCTCCTTGTATCCCATCTACCTTTTACTCTCAGTATAGCTACAACTAGAAAGTGATCTGATATATCTGTGGCCCCTCTATAAACATGTACATCCTGAAGTCTACTCAACAGTCTTTTATCTACCAATACATAATCCAACAAACTACTGTCATTTCGCCCTACATCATATCGTGTATACTTATTTATCCTCTTTTTCTTAAAATATGTATTACCTATAACTAAACCCCTTTCTATACAAAGTTCAATCAAAGGGCTCCCATTATCATTTACACCTGGCACCCCAAACTTACCTACCACACCCTCTCTAAAAGTTTCTCCTACTTTAGCATTCAAGTCCCCTACCACAATTACTCTCTCACTTGGTTCAAAGGCTCCTATACATTCACTTAACATCTCCCAAAATCTCTCTCTCTCCTCTGCATTCCTCTCTTCTCCAGGTGCATACACGCTTATTATGACCCACTTCTCGCATCCAACCTTTACTTTAATCCACATAATTCTTGAATTTACACATTCATATTCTCTTTTCTCCTTCCATAACTGATCATTTAACATTACTGCTACCCCTTCCTTTGCTCTAACTCTCTCAGATACTCCAGATTTAATCCCATTTATTTCCCCCACTGAAACTCTCCTACCCCCTTCAGCTTTGTTTCGCTTAGGGCCAGGACATCCAACTTCTTTTCATTCATAACATCAGCAATCATCTGTTTCTTGTCATCCGCACTACATCCACGCACATTTAAGCAACCCAGTTTTATAAAGTTTTTCTTCTTCTCTTTTTTAGTAATTGTATACAGGAGAAGGGGTTACTAGCCCATTGCTCCCGGCATTTTAGTCGCCTCATACGACACGCATGGCTTACGGAGGAAAGATTCTTTTCCACTTCCCCATGGACAATAGAAGAAATAAAAAAAGAACAAGAGCTATTTAGAAAAAAGAGAAAAACCTAGATGTATGTATATATATATATGCATGTGCGTGTCTGTGAAGTGTGACCAAAGTGTAAGTAGGAGTAGCAAGATATCCCTGTTATCTTAGCGTGTTTATGAGACAGAAAAAGAAACCAGCAATCCTACCATCATGCAAAACAGTTACAGGTTTTTGTTTCACAGTCATCTGGCAGGACGGTAGTACTTCCCTGGGTGGTTGCTGTCTACCAACCTACTACCTTTGATATAATAACAAAATGAGCTTAGCACAGTATCATTTTTCAGTCACAGGGTGATGACTCATTTTCTGAGTGTCATTAGTATTTCAGATAGCAGTGGTAATGGCACATGTTGTATTATACATTATGCAAAATATGCTACATTGTTGTGGAGTAAATAAATAAAATATGAGTGAAATGTGTGTAAATGTAATGGACTCGTGTCAGTGAAACTGCAGGAACCTGAGTCACAGGTGACTCATAAATATTTCTGCATGTCAGTAATACATGAGTGGTATTCCAGATTGTAGTGACAGTGAAATCAGTGGTGCTGTATAAAATACATGTACCAGTATGCTGGAGCATGGCCTCTAATTCCATAATACAGGAGGGCCCCACTTATACGGCAGGTTAGGTTCCAGGCTACCGCCGTAAAGCGGAAATCGCCGTAAAGTGGAACACCCTTTTTTTCCACTTATAAATGCATACAAACACTAGATAACAAGTTTACACTAACATATATTAAGTTAGCAATAGAACCAGGCATCAAAAAACAATAAAAAGGTACAATACACACATAGTGCACTCATTACTTACCTTAAAATATTTATAGTCTTAATCTAGGGTGAGACAAGTAGTATTTATTGTAAGAAATCAAGTGTGGTATGTATTGTAATAGCCAGGCTACCTCGCCAGGCCACCCCACCCACAATATATTCTATGATATTTAAGCATCCCAGAGCGATAAAATGTGTATACAGTTCACTCATTACTTACCTTAAAATATTTGTAGTCTTAATGTAGGGTCAGGAGTAAGTAAATGAGATAAAACGAATAAATGAGAGAGAGAAAGAATGAGTACATGAGAGGAAAACAGGCGCAGAGTTATGTAAAAAAACCAGGCTCCCACATCTTATATTTATGTTTATTTTATTCTATTGTGGGGTGTATTTATCACCTTTTTTTGTTATGTATCGTGTTTATTATATAATTTTGAAAAAAATATCATGGCTGGATTAATGAAAATGTGTATATTACCGCAATATACGACATTAATGTGACTCGGTGAGTATTGTTATTATCACACTTGTGCAAGTCGTCTGCTACCACATCTCACATTTATGTTTTATTTATTCTACTGTGGGGTGTATTTATCTTATTTATATGTTATGCATCGTGTTTATTAATTAATTTTGAAAAAAATATCATGGATGGATTAATGAAAATGTGTATATTACCGTAATATACGACATTTAATGGGACTCGGCGAGTATTGTTATTATCACCACTTGTGGAAGTCGTCTGCTCACATCTCACATTTATGTTTATTTATTCTACTGTGGGGTGTTATTTATCTTATTTATATGTTATGCATCGTGTTTATTATATAATTTTGAAAAAAATATCATGGATGGATTAATGAAAATGTGTATATTACCGTAATATACGACATTTAATGAGACTCGGTGAGTATTGTTATTATGGCGTCACTTGTGGAAGTCGTCTGCTCACATCTCACATTTATGTTTATTTATTCTACTGTGGGGTGTATTTATCTTATTTATATGTTAAAGCATCGTGTTTATTATATAATTTGAAAAAAAATATCATGGATGGATTAATGAAATGTGTATATTACCGTAATATACGACATTTAATGAGACTCGGCGAGTATTGTTATTATCACCACTTGTGGAAGTCGTCTGCTCACATCTCACATTTATGTTTATTTATTCTACTGTGGGTGTATTTATCTTATTTATATGTTATGCATCGTGTTTATTATATAATTTGAAAAAAAATATCATGGATGGATTAATGAAAATGTGTATATTACCGTAATATACGACATTTAATGAGACTCGGCGAGTATTGTTATTATCACCACTTGTGGAAGTCATCTGCTCACATCTCACATTTATGTTTATTTATTCTACTGTGGGGTGTATTTATCTTATTTATATGTTATGCATCGTGTTTATTATATAATTTTGAAAAAAATATCATGGATGGATTAATGAAAATGTGTATATTAACGTAATATACGACATTTAAATGACTCGATGTATGTAAGTTTATTTAGGTACAGGTATACATAAGTATAATTATCAGAGTATATATAAAATATGAAATAACTTTTAAAAACATTTGAAATTTTGGAGTTTCCAGACAAAATGGAGAGACTTAGTGCTTACTGAGCTCATGGAGAATGTAAACAAACAGGGTGGGGCACGGTGACCGTATTAGAAAGTCAGGTGGGGGGAGCCGTATAGTGAGTTTTGGTCATAATTTGAAATGTCCGTATTAGCGGAACGCCGTAAAGTGAAACGCCGTAAAGCGGGGCCTTCCTGTATTCTAGTTAACCTTTAAACTGTCCAAATTTAGATCTACCTTCACTCGTGTAGCGCTCCGAATGTAGATCTACATTCAATTTTACATGCTTTTTTATGTAAAAAAACATTTGGAGCACTATGCAAGTGAGCATAGATCTACGTTTGGACAATTTAAGAGTTAAAGCTGCAGGGTGTTTTGGTCTACTGTATCAAAAAATAATCTTAGATCAATAAGAGACCCAATAGATGTTCATTATTTTCTAGAGATCAGTTGATTTATTCAGAATTTTTATTACTGCATATTTTTACTTTTTTTTCTAGCCTGTAACCAAACTGGCAAGGGTTAAGAATACATGGCTATGAATGCCTTTAGTTATTTATTTTAGTTGGGTCTTCTCTTTTGGGGCTGGCATAATCCTTCCTAGCAGAGTATATTTGGGAAAGTTTTAGTTTTTGTAGACTTGAATACTCTTGCAGTTATAAATGATAGTATATGAGCAACTTCTTTATATATGAATGGTGGTTGAAGAGAAGTTGTAAAGGTTGATGGATGAATTTAGGAGGGTATATTGTTATGTTAGTGTTTTTACTAATTGATCAACATACTCATTAGGATTAGTGTTAATTTCCATTTATGTATATTGTGTGTTTTATATATGCCATATGTACAATATATTTTTTGGTTCTATTAATATTATATACTCCTAGATTACGCCTACCAGAAATGCAAAGGCATTCAGTAGTTTATGTTATAAGTTTAGTCAGCCCAAAATGCTCTGCATAACCAGGGGCATTCTGTAATGTATGAAATATTTCACCTAATTTTGTAACAATTATGTATCTATGGAAATAAAAATTTATTATTGTGGTTTGTTGTGATTGCAATGGTTGTGGTTGTTTTAGCATTGGCGTTGTTGGTTGTAGAGGCTTTTTTTTTTTTTTTATTGTAGGAATATGTGGACACATGAGTCTTGATTATTGCTAAATTCTTTCAACCAGTCAATGTTACTGATTACTGTGGTAAAACTATTTACTGATGCCTCATCCTAGAGCCTGAATGAGATTTCATTACTTTCAAGTAGTACTTTTGTTATATTGATGATTGGAAAGGCAGGTTAATGAACATTTGTATTATCAGTGTTGATGCCTGCTTTTAGAGAGCTATTATATTTGTTCAGATGTGCTCAAGTGATGCTATTATATCTGTAATTCTTGTAGGCTTGATTATTGATGGTATTAATAAGCAATTATACATGGTTAGGAAACTGGCTGCTTCATGTCTTTTGACTGAACGAGGTTAATGTTGAAGCCTCAACAATTATTAAGTGAAGCTTACTAAGTTTATTGTTTATGATTGGGTCCTTAACATTATCACCAAACTTGGCTATATTGGTATGTGGTGATCTGGTAAACAACTATTATGATTGTAATATGCAGTGTATGTGGTGATCTGGTAAACAACTATTATGATTGTAATATGCAGTACATTATATTTTTCAGGATGTTAGACTTATTTGCAAATTAATTAGATGACAGTTCTTAAACTGTATATAATACATGTTTTTATTTTCTTTTTATTCTAGGAAAAGTATTCAGATGCAACTGTGGCATGTGAAGGCAGATTTTACCCAGTACATAAATTGGTGCTATCAACTTGCAGCCAGTATTTTGAAGACATGTTTGAACATGTAATTGGGAAACATCCAATTGTTTTATTGCATGATGTACGGCGTGATGAACTAGAAGCTCTTCTAAGTTACATGTATGCTGGTATAGTAAGTGTTGCTCAGAGGGATTTGGCTCGTCTTATTAAAGTTGCTGAGTTACTGCAAATTAAGGGCTTGGCTGTTCCAGACGAAATACCTACAGATAAAAAAAATGTAAGGAATAACCTCAGCCTAAGCAGTGAGAGAACTAGTCCACGGCCAAAAGTGGCACATGGGGTAGAATCTAGTGATGATAGAACCAGTCCACATCCAAAGAGAAGAAGAAGAGAAGATAATGCAATGCCATCTCAAGGGGGATCATCTCCTATACGTGTTCCAGATTCTCCAAGACCATCTTCACACACGAAGGATAGTAATCAAATGCAAGAAGATTCGGAAATTAAGTATGAGATGCAAGAAGAAAATATAGAGAATGTGAACCCAAGAGTGGAAATTGTGGAACAGAGTACTTGTGATATAAGGGACCACACAGAGAGAACTAACACAAGCAAAACTGAACAGAGAGGTGAACACCAAGTTAACCAGAGACTTCAGCATCAACCTGGCTCCCAAGAACCCTCAGGCAATCAATATAAGGTCTGTAAATCTAATTATAAAAATATGAATCTTAATATTTTTAATATTTCTTTGACAAGTTTCAACTGTTTTCACTCTTAACCTTACTGAATGAACCAAGAAGAGAGATGTTACTGTATTTTGTGGCTTATTAGACGCATTTTTTTCCCCTAAAATGTCTCTAAAAAGCACCCTGCGTCCTGTAAACTGAAGGTCAGTGATGGGAGCTATAAATTTGGGATGTGGGGTGGACTGTAGCTTTCCCAATTGCATTTGATGCCAAGCCATTGAAACTAAAACAAATCTTATAAGCCGCGAAATACGGTAATTTTTTTGACATTCTTTTAGAATGCAGTGTTCTGCACATTATTTAATAAAATTGTATTGTTGGGTATGGTGGGGCAGGAGAATATGGAATTATGCAAGTCCATGAGAAAGGAATATATTTAAAAAAAAAAATTCTATTCACAGGATGGTACAGATGATGCCATAGTCATTAAGGAAGAGACATGGGAGGATCCAGGAGATAACCAGATTAATTCTATGACTACTAGTTTGGGTTTTGGCCCCTCTTCTGATGAAATGTCATCTAGTGCCATTGATGGAGCTCAAGAAGACCATGCCAAGTTATTGTTATCCAAGGAGTATGAGAGCCATTTACCACAAGCTCTGCCTGAAGTGGTTGTTGAAGCACTAGCTGGGCCCTCAGGCATGCATGAGGTGAGCTGAACATTTCATTTTCAAGTTATCATTCTCATATACTACTCTCTTTTATCTTTATATTCTTTTGGTTTGGACATTTAGAGAGGATGGAGCAAAAAGGATGACGTGGAGAGTACAAGTCTGTAGTGGAAGGAAGGCAGGATAGGGGTCGCCATAGTAAAGGTTGGAGAGAGGGGGTAAAGGTTTGTGTGCAAGGGGCTTGAACATCCAGCAGACGTGTGTGAGCATGTTAGATAGGAGTGAGTGGAGGCAGATGGCTCTTTGGACCTGATGAACTGTTGAAGTGTGAGCAAGGTAATATTTTGTGAAGGGATTCAGGAAAACCGGTTAGCTGGACTTGAGTCATGGGGGTGGAAAGTGCAATGCCTACACTTTGAAGGAGGGGTGGGGATATTTGCAATTTTGAACTATAGTATTGGCACTTCTCTGGCGAGACAGTGATGGAGTGAATAGTGGTGAAAGTGTTTTCTTTTTTGGGGATCACTTCCTCAGTGGAAGGCAGCCAGTGTGTTAAAAAAAAGATATATAACTAGTAAAGATATATAACTGGTAAAGTTATCAATGGAATAAGTGGTAGCAAATATTGGCAGTTTGGAAGGATATGTTATATATCTATATATATGCTTCTAAACTATTGTATCTGGGTGCCTCTTCAAAAACAGTGATTATGTATGAGTGAGGTGAAAGTGTTGAATGATGATGAAATTATTTTCTTTTTATTTTTTGGGTCACCCTGCCTTGGTGGGAGACGGCTAACTTGTTGAAAAAAAAAAAATTTCCTTCTTTGGGTCAACCTGCTTTGGCAGGAAGTAGTAGTAATTTTTTTTTTCTTTTTGCAATGTTACAAGTACATGTAGAATATAAATCTAATAGATTATTGTATTTCTTCAGTGGCTAGGTGGAGGAGACTTTACTGCAGGGTTAGCTGGAGTTGAAAATTATAGTGGGGAAGGTAGCCCACCCACTGCTGACCATCCACTGCAGCATCAGTTGGTAAGTGTTGTTCTTAGTTTACAGAGGCATTTGCCATCAATGGTAGTTTATATACAGATGTCAAGATTGTGTTTCTACACTTTTTATCTGAAAAACAAAACCCATTGTAGCAATGATAATAGATTTAAAATATTGAGATAAGTGATTTTCAGTAGCCTCCAACTTAATGCATGATGTGTAACTAAGATGATCTTTAGTAGGACCATATAGGTATACATTCTATAATTGTCAATACATATACAAAAACATATGGATTTTAAGGGCTTCAGTATTGCATGTGTTACCCGATAATATGTAAACAATAGTTACATAGTATTTGCTTATTAATTATTACTGGAAAGCCATGTGAGCCATGTATCAAGGATGATTCCTTGATGTTGGTCAGGAGTTCTTGAGCCTTCCCTCCTCTTCCTTGGATTGAACCTGAATGCTTCCCATTTCCCTAGGTGCAGTATAACCTATGGGTTTAGTGTCCCCCTCCCTATGAATATAATAATTGGGCCAGTCAGGCTGTCGGTGATTGCTTTTCACACAGTATATATTTTTTTTTTTTTTTTTTTTTTCAACAAGTCGGCCGTCTCCCACCGAGGCAGGGTGACCCAAAAAAGAAAGAAAATCCCCAAAAAGAAAATACTTTCATCATCATTCAACACTTTCACCACACTCGCACATTATAGTTTTTGGAGTAGGTGCTCAAATACAACAGTCAGAAGTATAAACATTAAAGATACACAATATCCCTCCCAACTGCCAATATCCAAAACCCTCCTTTAAAGTGCAGGCATTGTACTCCTGCATTTCCAGGACTCAAGTCCGACTATATGAAAATTAACCGGTTTCTGAATCCTTCACTAAATATTACCCTGTCATACACTCCAACAGATTCAGGTCCCAAGTTACCATTCGTTCCATTCACCTATCTAACACGCTCACGCAGCTTGCTGGAAGTCAAGCCCTTACCCACAAAACCTCCTTTACCCCTCTCCTCTTCCTAACCCTTTGAGGACGACCCTACCCCGCATTCTTCCCTTAGATTTATATGCTTTCCATGTCATTCTACTGTGATCCATTCTCTCTAAATGACCAAACACCTCAACAACCCTCTTCTGCCCTCTGACTAATACGTTTATTAACTCCACACCTTCTACTAATTTCCCACACTCGAATTTTCTGCATAATATTTACACACACATTGCCCTTAAACAGGACATCTCCGCGGTCCAACCGTCTCCTCGCTGCTGCATATTACCACCAAGCTTCACACCCATATAAGAGTGTTGGTACTACTATACTTTCATACATTCCCTTCTTTGCCTCCATAGATAACGTTTTTTGACTCACATTACCTCAACGCACCACTCACCTTTTTTCCCTCATCAATTCTATGATTAACCTCATCCTTCATAAATCCATCCGCCGACACGTCAACTCCCAAGTATCTGAAAACATTCACTTCTTCCATACTCCTCCTCCCAATTTGATATCCAATTTTTCTTTATCTAAATCATTTGACACCCTCATCACCTTACTCTTTTCTATGTTCACTTTCAACTTTCTACCTTTACACACATTCCCAAACTCATCCACTAACCTTTGCAATTTTTCTTAGAATCTCCCATAAGCACAGTATCATCAGCAAAAAGTAACTGTGTCAATTCCCATTTTGAATTTGATTCCCCATAATTTAATCCCACCCCTCTCCCAAACACCCTAGCATTTACTTCCTTTACAACCCCATCTATAAATATATTAAACAACCATGGTGACATTACACATCCCTGTCTAAGACCTACTTTTACTGGGAAGTAGTCTCCCTCTCTTCTACACACCCTAACCTGAGCCTCACTATCCTCATAAAAAACTCTTTACAGCATTTAATAACTTACCACCTATTCCATATACTTGCAACATCTGCCACATTGCTCCTCTATCCACTCTATCATATGCCTTTTCTAAATCCATAAATGCAATAAAAACTTCCCTATCTTTATCTAAATACTGTTCACATATATGCTTCAATGTAAACACCTGATCTACACATCCCCTACCCACTCTAAAACCTCCTTGCTCATCCGCAATCCTACATTCTGTCTTACCTCTAATTCTTTCAATTATAACCCTACCGTACACTTTTCCTGGTATACTCAGTAAGCTTATTCCTCTATAATTTTTACAGTCTCTTTTGTCCCCTTTCCCTTTATATAAAGGGACTATACAGTATATATATGTCATCTAAAGTTTCCTCTCGAATGTATGTTTTCTTGTGATTTGTTTTAGCCATGGTATTATGACTCGGAGGTTTTGTGCGCAAGGGGCTTGGACATACAGCAGGCATATGTGAGCGTGTTAGAAAGTGAATGGAGACAAATGTTTTTTGGGGCTTGATGAGCTGTTGGAGTGTGAGCAGGATAATATTTTATGAAGGGATTCAGGGAAACTGTTTAGCCAGACTTAAGTTCTCGAGGTGAGAAGTACAATGCCTGCACTTTAAAGGAGGAGTTTGGGATATTGATTGTTTGCTCCTGGCATTTTAGTTGCCTTTTGTGACATGTATGGCTTACTGAGGAAGAAGTTTTTTCCACTTCCCCATGGAGAATTATTATTATTGTTCTTATCATTATCATTATTATTATTATTATTATTATTATTATTGTTGTTGTTATTATTTTATTTATCAAACCAGCCATATCTTACTGAGACAGGGTAACTTAAATATCTCTTTTAATTTAGTAATGTATACAGGAGAAGGGGTTATTAGCCCCTTGCTCCCGGCATTTTAGTCACCTCTTCTGGTATGCATGGCTTACAGAGGAAGAATTCTGTTCCACTTCCCATGGAGAATTATTATTACTATTACTATTATTATTATTATTATTTTTTTTTTTTTTTTTTTTTACAAGTCGGCAGTCTCCCACTGAGGGAGGGTGACCCAAAAAGAAAGAAAATCCCCAAAAAGAAAATACTTTCATCATCATTCAACACTTTCACCTCACTCACACATAATCACTGTTTTTGCAGAGATGCCCAGAATACAACAGTTTAGAAGCATATACATATAAAGATACACAACATATCCCTCCAGACTGCCAATATCCCAAACCCCTCCTTTAGAGTGCAGGCATTGTACTTCCCATTTCCAGGACTCAAGTCCGGCTTTATAAAAATAACCGGTTTCCCTGAATCCCTTCATTAAATATTACCCTGCTCACACTCCAACAGCTCGTCAGGCCCCAAATACCATTCGTCTCCATTCACTCCTATCAAACACGCTCATGTATGCCTGCTGAAAGTCCAAGCCCCTCGCCCACAAAACCTCCCTTACCCCTTCCTTCCAACCTTTTCGAGGACGACCCCTACACCGCTTTCCTTCCCCTACAGATTTATACGCTCTCCATGTCATTCTACTTTGATCCATTCTCTCTAAATGACCAAACCACCTCAACAACCCCTCTTCAGCCCTCTGACTAATACTTTTATTAACTCCACACCTTCTCCTTATTTCCACACACCGAATTTTCTGCATAATATTAACACCACACATTGCTCTTCTTATTATTATTATGTATTATTATTATTATTATTATTATTATTATTATTATTATTATTATTATTATTATTATTATTATTATTATTATTCTTTCAACAAACTGGGTGTCTCTCACTGCACCAGGGTGACCCAAAAAGAAAAACAAAAGTTTCTCTTTTTAACTTTAGTAATGTATACAAGAGAAAGGGTTATTGCCCCCTTGCTCCCGGCATTTTAGTTGCCTTTTATGACATGCATGGCTCACAGAAGAATAATTCTGTTTCACTTCTCCATGGAGAATTATTATTATTATTATTATTATTATATCCAGAGTTCCTGCCCCAATGAAACTACTGGAAAAGATTCAGGAACACTGAATTAGGTATTTTGTTTTCAGGTGGGATAACAATAACTTTTGAAAAGCTGAAAGGGGTCATCATAGATAAAAGGCTAGGAATCATTAGTCTAGGATAAGCCAGAATGTCAATTAGTTTTATTTTCAGTTTGTTGTGCTATTAGTGTGGAGGCTACTCTATCATAGTTACTCTTGCTCTTGTAAAGTTTACTCTGTAATGTATATAAAGAACTATGATGGTATGTTTTCTGTGTTGTTGTAGATGCTGTGAACTGTGGTGAATCCATTTGTTATTCTTAAGATTGTTGCCAATGATAGAATCTTATGAGAGTGCATAGTACAAATTGAAAAACACGAATTTGCATTCAGAGTTGATTCCATTTTCATAAATGAAAATATGTATGCAGAATCTTAAATCTACCAGTACATCTGTGTCTTCTGCAATGGCAGATTTGGGGGACACAAAACATCAGATGATTATTAAAATACAATATTTTGAATAACAGGTGAGATTCAACATAACATGTGAGGTGTACTGTACATTTACTTTAAATGAATGACAGTTGTTTGAGAAATGTGTATAGATGTTGGATCCTAATTAGGCAATGACTGAAATATTGTGATGTATGTATGTTTGTAGGCACCATTTACTGGGGCTGTTGTTGATTGGATATTTGATAAGAGACTTTTTTTTTTCTTAAATATACTATTCTGTAATTTGCAATTAGCAAATGTATATAGGCCCTGGTCAGTAATAAATTTTTTGGGTACTAATGCTCGGGTTTATTGGTAAATTTGATATAGTACTGGTTTCTAGTCAACAGCAGATTACCTAGCAATCATTTTGAATATTGTTTGATGTTGTTTGTATGTGCCATCGTTACTGCAGAAGGTAAGTTTATTCTTCTAGTGCTCTTGATTTGAATGAAGATTTCACTTATATAACAAATATTTGTTAGCTTTGTAATTTTCTTTGTGTATAATTTTTATTTAATATGAAGTGAGAATTGACCCTTAGAATTATAGTTTTTTTATACTCTCTTTATTTATTAGGGTGACATTATTCTTGGGTTTATAACAAAGTTTTATAATAGTCATTTAAATCACAGTTAAAAATAT